ATGGTAAGAAATGCTGTAATTCTTATTGAAGGAGAGTTGGATTTAGAGATAGGTGAAGGGTGGTCTCTGCTTTTGTGGAACTGGTGGTTCGCTGTGGGAGATGGGTTTGTAAACAGATAATCGCATGAGCTGCAGTAAAGGCAACATTGGTGCTTAATTAGCCAGGTTTGTTTTTTTTTTTTCCTTCTGTTTTTCTTACTTTGTTTTGACACAACTTTGTTCTTAACGACTGTTTCTTGGTGGGTGTTCCTTAGGGCTTGCTCCCACAATCATGTGAGTTGATTTCCTGGTTAAAATCAACAACCCTTGGCTCCTCAGTGGCCTTGTTTTCACTCCACGTTACTCCACCCTTCTTGTCCCCTTTCCCTGGCTGCTCTTGAACCCCAAACAGTTTGCAGTGGTTGCTTCAGGAGGAGAACGGTACAGACAATGTTTTTGGACCATGTCAATTCAGGAATGATTGAGGTTTCAGGCTTTTCTTGCTCTAGCATCAAACTTCTGCATGTTGTTTCTTTGAGGAGCCCAGCTAGATCTAAGATCAGTGATCGGCGAGGACTAGGAGAACAGCTTGAAGTTCCAGTTTATTTTCTGGGCCTTGTTATGATGTGCATCTTTTAGTCAAACTGGTGCCACTTCCCAGAATTTTAAGGCAAGAGACTTCTCTGGCACCTGTGAGGAATTTTTGTAAACAAAGTATTTGCCCCAAAACTTCTTTTATAAATGACTTTTCACATCGTAAAACAGTGTGCACCATGCCACATTTTTCTCCAGCTCCTGTTTGGGTTGAAATTGGGCATCTGTTAAATCTTAGTGAAAATTATTTTAAAGGCAGATCCGGGGGGAAAAAAGATGAAAATATGGTAAGAAGTATCCATGGAAAATCATTCCGGTGGCAACCATAAATCCTCTAGCTTTTCTTAGCAAAAAGCAAAGATGGCTGTGAGCAAAACCATCCCGTGGTGTGTACCTTCCCTTTGGGTTCTGGAGTCATGGGAAACTAAGCTGGCCTTTGGCTGAGGACTGGACCAAGGTCCTGCCCAGCAGCTCCTCTGTTGTGCTGCCTGGTGATCCGGTTCCAGCTTTGACAAGACCCTTCCTCACAGCTTTGTAGATGAACCATTCGGAATTGCTTTGGAGAGTGAGAAAGCATTGAACTAAAACCGGGCACTCTTTTTGCATGGTCGTTAGGTGGGATTTCCTTGCTTGTCAGGCGTGGTACAGGGCTCTGGAGCCCACATTTGGTTCGCATGGCAGCACAATGGGGCCTGGAGGGTAAGAGGTGACACTCCTCAATTATTTGACATATTTTTTTTTTCAAAAGCATTAAATGCACGTGCTAGAAAAAAAATTTCAAACGGTGCACAAAGCCAATCTCTCTCACCCCAGCCACTAACTCTTCTGCCCAGAGGCTGGCTGCCCCTGTGTCTGTCTTCTTGCATTTCTTTCCAGAGAGAATCTGTGCAAGCAGAAACTTAAACATCTCTCCATCCTGCTTTGTTTTTGTTTTTGTTTTTTTTTTTAAAGATTTTATTTATTTATTTGACAGAGAGAAATCACAAGCAGGCAGAGAGGCAGGCAGAGAGAGAGGAGGAAGCAGGCCCCGCTGAGCAGAGAGCCCAATGCGGGGCTCGATCCCAGGACCCTGAGATCATGACCCGAGCCGAAGGCAGCGGCCTAACCCACTGAGCCACCCAGGCGCCCCCATCCTGCTTTGTTTTTACTCACTTGGTAGCACACTCTACAACTAGCTGTCCCACATCTTGCTTTTCCCCTTCACTGTGTATTGAAGGTCATTTCATTCCTCCCTGTTCTGATGTTGTACAGCATTTCACTGTGTGGATGTCCCACAGTCAGTTTACATTGTTTTTTTGTCCTTTATTATTACAAACAAGACTGCAGTGACTCTTTGTGTACTTTGTGACCATATGTATAAGATAAATATCTAGAAATGGAATGACTGGGCCCAAGGGTATGTGTTCTTAAGTTTGGTAGACATTGCCAAATTGCCTTCCAGCTAATTTTTTTTTCTTTGTAAGTGAGCCCAACACGGGGCTTGAATTCACAAACCTGAGATCAAGAGTTGCATGCTCTATTGAAGCCAGGTGCCCTCCCCCCAACCCAAGCTAACTTTTTTTAAAAGCTGAGTAAAGGAGACACCCAAAGAGGTGTGTCTGAAATTTGCCTCCAGGTTGCCCGATCTGAGAGAGGTAGGGCAGGAACCAGAACCTGGCTCTGTCTCCAGGCCTAGTCCTCTTGCCTAGCTCCAACCTGCCTTTCTCCGTTGGTGGCTCAGGCTCCCAGGCCCTCAGTACCCCCCAGCAGCCCAGTTTCTTCTCCTCTGACCCCATCACTTTACCCTCCCAGTTCAGTGGCCTCCTCCTACAGATCCTCTTTAGTAATTAAGTTGATTCTTTTCTGAAATTCTAAGGCATCTTGCAGGAATGCAGGGTTGCCCACTGCCTCTCCAGGGCTGGGACTTTTCACCTCAGTCTGGTTGTTTTGAGGGTGCCATTCATGAATCTCAGAACAGCATTTCCAAAAAAAATTTTTTTTGGGGGGGGGTGAGAGCAGAGGTGGGCAAGAGGGAGGTGGATCAATCACATAACTCTTCTTCAGTTCATAGTGAGGACTTGAAATGTTAAGAGTTCCCTTATTTATTTATTTATTTATTTATTTATTTTTAAGAGTTCCCTCATTTAAATCAGGCATATAAATTAAGGTCACCTAACTTTCTTTTGAAAATGCTATTTTAGGGTTTTAGCAAGTGAGTGTTAACGGGAAGAGACTGTTGTCATCCGGACAACAATGACCTTCACCTTACTGGGAGAACTGGGAGGGGCCTGTACAGCCCCCTCCAAGCCACCTAAGAAGCCAGGTGGGTTCTTGACTTACCCAGGCGGTGGGGACTTTTGCCCATAACACTCCATGGGGCCTCTTCGCTCTTGTCGTTCCTCCATCTCCACCAGTTTAACTTCTGTGACTGCAGAAGGTACATGAAAAATCTTTTACTAAGGCTCATATATACCTCTCAGCCCACCAGAGATGCAGCTGGGGTCATTGGGTAGTCTAAGGGACCTTGTGGCTTGACCTCCATCTCCTGACCAATTCCTCCCAAAGCATAAGCCTGCTGCCTTCCCTGGCCCACCCTATTGTGGTGTCACCTTTCCCCTCTTGCTCATGCCCTCTTCCCCACTAGGACTAGACATTTTGTAAAACACCCACCACCTTTATGTGATTCCCCTGCTTTAAAGTTCCTTTGACTCCTGGTGGCTCTTTAGTAGTACCCAAGCTTCCTTGCCTGGCCTCCTAGGCCCCATGGAATCTGACCCTGCAGCTTCTCAGGACTCAACTCTCTCTCTGGCTCCATCCCCTGCACACCCCCCGCCCTTCCCCCATCCACCCTGTGTTCAGTTACACTGAATGGCTGGCCCTTGCAGGACCCGTTCACCCACTGCCCTGTCTGGGCCCCCAGAAAGCAGGAGCCTGGTCTCATCTGTGTTTACATCTTCAGCGCACTCAGGGGGCTGGGCCCCCAAAGTGCTGACTGGGCCAGTGTGTGAGTGCAGAGGCTGGCCAAGTTGTCCGGGAGCAGAGCCATGCATCGTTCAGTCTGGTCTCCTAGAGAAGTGCCGAGAGGGAAGGGACAGAGAAGTTCCTGGGTCTGGTGACAGTACTCGATTCCATCCCTGCTTGAGGCCCCATCTTGGATTCTCTCCTGCCTCTCAGCCCTTTTAACCAAAGTCCTTTGGGCCCAAAGAATTTCCCCACAAGGGCCCAGGTTTTTGGGGCAGGTGGTGTGCCAGCTTGGGTGTCTGCTCTGGAGTGCTGCCACTAGAGCAAGGGCTTTAGGCCCAGTAGCAGCATCCCCGTGCCCACAGTCTCATATGAGCAGCACCCTCCCTGGGCCAAGGGTCCCTTGGTTTGGAGTCAGAGCCACCCTCAAGGCCTCAGGTGGTGACTCCTCCCACTTCAGGTAATCAGGGAGGCAGCAGCACTGGGGGATGCCTATGGCCACTGCCTGCCCACTCTGGGCAGTGGGGACATGTCAGCCATGTGTCTCTGCTTTTTTCTTTAGAAACTTCCTTAAGGAGTAGGGCTGCAGAGATTTGAGGAGGGCTCCCAATTCATGGGTTCTCTTTGAAGTAGTTACCCTGGTGATGATGTCACTGGAGAACTGAGGTGCAAGCCCTTTGAGGACATCGAAAATGAAGTGGTGCCAGTTTTTTGTTTTTTTTTTTTAATCACCTTTGTCCCTTTGATCAAAGGTGAGATGGTTAGAATGACCATGCAGGGGCCTAGAACTCATGGTAACATGTTCCTTAGGACCACTGGTTTAAGAAAGCAGCTTCAAGCAACCCCATCACTTTGAAAATTAACCTCACAGAGTATCAGATGCAGCTGCTTCCCTTTGGAGAAATGGGGACAAGCCAGAGGGCTATTTTAAGGGTAATTACAATATCTGTCATTTAGGGAGCATTTATGTGTTAGGGCTTTTCTTACAGGGTCACTGATCTACACACAGTCCTGGGTAGCCATCCCTACCCTCCCCCCGTTTTCCAGATGAAGAAACTCAAGCCACTCAGCCAGGACTTGAACCTAAATCTGTTTCCTCCAAAGCTGGGGCTCTTTATTCACCTTTTTTTTCACTGTTTCTTATTGAAGACAAAGCAGATGACCCAGGGATTCCACTTGAGTCCCTGAGAGAAAACTAAGGCCACTCCATTTAGCTTAGAGATGAACAGGCCACACTTGACTTGCAGGAGGCTCTAAGCCTCAGGCACGATGAAGGGCAGTGGCTAAGTGCGAATGTCCAGCATTCAGGGTAAGAGCCAGTGGTGGGGGCGCTGGGGCAGGAGGGGTGTCTGTATGGTGGCTGTGCAGACTGAGGGCAGAGTGAGCCATGGTCTTGCGTGGGCTAGGATTCCACATCATTTTCTGCACCCACATCTCCCTTTATTTCAGATGTTTTCAAGTCAGCAAACATTTACTGAGCACCTACTATGTACAAGGTATGTTGTAGATGCTTGAGGGAAGGCGTGTGGGGAATAGGGGTGAATGAATCACAGTATTGTTGCTACCCTTAGGAGAAACTGGCAGAACAGGGGGATGACACAGTGTTCCGAGTGGCAGAGTGACTTGCCCAATAAAGACTAAGCATGAGAGCCCCGTGACTCTGCTTGGAGCATCAGGTAAAGCTTCCTGGATGCTTAGGCTGGGCTCTGAGGGTCAAGTCACATTTTGTTGGGCTGAGAAGTGAGGAAGATGTTCTTGGCAGATGTGCTGAGGGGTGTTTGCTGTACTTTCTGGCATAGTCAGACTTCTTGACCCACGGGCATGGCCTTCTAAAAGTAGAGTCCAGCCGCCTGGGTTTTGTCCCCTGCTCCTGGCCTTCCCACCACGAGTTCTCCCAGTTGTGGCACTGCTTGCCCAGGCTCTAGTCCCGCTTCAGTCCCAGAAGATAGTGGGGGTGGGACTCTTCCTTCTGGAATGACTGCACACCCTGCCTGCCTTGCTTGTAATTTTGGCCACGAGGCCACCTCTTAGATGGAAGGATGGTGACTTGGAGGCTGGGGGAGTGCTGCCACCTGGTGGTCGGCCTCTGAAGGAGGCTCTGCCTTCCGTGATATCTCAAGTGAGTCAAAGAGCGTCAGCTCACCTTCCTGTTCCCAGTGCACCAGGCCCCAATTTACCTGGAGAAACATGGTCATCTTCTGGGAGTGAAGCAAGGAGGGATCCTCCCTTCTCGGTTGCATGCTGGCTCCTCCCCAGCTAAGAAGTCTCAGGCAGCCCTTCTGAGGCATAGGAGAGATCGTTTAGGGTCTCCCACTGGCCCCTGTCCTAAAGGGAGTATGTGCTGGCCCCGGGACAGAGGCCAGACCCCCTTCTGAGCAACCCTACTCCCTGTTTGCCCTTGCAAAGAGTAAGGGGGCCCTCTCTGACACTTGCATTTGGGCCTCAGGACGGAGATGACTAACAGAATCAGCATGTGTTCTCACAGCTCTGGCCTCAGCCTGATACTGTTAACAGATGACAACATGTCTTACTGGGTTTAACTTTGATGACTGTGGAGACGGAGCGCTTCGAGTAATAGGCGGCCCACTGTGTCCTGAATAAACCCTGGACCCTCCTACCTTGTCTTGTTGGGGACCAGGGCCAGAGCTTGCTCTGGGGCTTTGAGAAGAGCGCTACACTACCACCCTCCCCCACCAACTGTTGTCCTCATCCTAGGGCGCTAGTCCCACCCCCCCCCACCCCCCAGCTGGGAGATGGCTTCACGTCCCAGCCTGCTCTCCCCTGCTGAAACCTGGCTGTAGGCATGGGGTTCTGGGCTCCATCCCGGGCCTCAGGTTAATGCTCTCTCTACTTTTTTTTCCTCTGGAGATGAACATCTGCAACAAGCCCTCCAACAAGACAGCTCCCGAGAAGAGTGTGTGGACGGCGCCCGCACAGGCCAGCAGACCCTCGCCGGAGCTGCAGGGCCAGCGGTCCCGTCGGAATGGGTGGAGCTGGCCCCCTCACCCGCTCCAGATTGTGGCTTGGCTGCTCTACCTCTTCTTCGCTGTCATTGGCTTTGGGGTCCTTGTTCCCCTCTTGCCTCACCACTGGGTGCCCGCTGGCTATGCTGTATCCTTGGGAAAGTGTAGTAACTGGAAGTACTGGGGCAGCGGACAGGGCATGGCAGGGGCCAGAGGCTGTGCTCTGGAGCCTCCGAGAGTGTAGGCAGGCCCCTTCACTGCCCGGGAGGACCAGCTGCCTGCCAGCCTGGCTCCCAACCCCTGTTTGACCTCTCGGCCTGATGGGGTGAGCACATAGACCTAATGTGCCTTGGAGCATTTAAAGCCCACACAGCTGGGAACCTCATCAACTGAGGTACCACAAGAGTGATCACAGAAAAAAGCCTTAAAGCTAATTAAGTCAGAGCTTGACAGGGGATAAATTAGGGAGTAATTATTCCATTTACAAAAGACTTTTTGACTTTTCAAAAAGAGTCATGGTAGAATTCTTTTACATACTAAGTTTCCTGGTATATTTAAAATGTGGTTTTATATAGGGTCAAATAATTTTGCCGTACCCGGGGCTGTTTAGGAGCTCCTTGGTTCTGTAAATCGCACTCTTAGGGTGAGGTTGTATTGACAAGAGTAGGGATAAAGATGCCCTGGAGGCTCCTGGGAACAGTAACAAGCACAAACTTGCCTGAGCCTGCTGGTATGACAGCCCCATTTGTGGCCACAACTCACAACTGGGAGCAGGGGACATGGCTACAAGGCTGGGAGATCGGGGTGCAGCAGGTGGCCATGTGCCCCTCATCGTCCTCATCCTAGGGTGCTAGTTCCCCCCGGCTGGGAGATGGCCCCTGAAGGCCCCAGAAGGGGGTCTGGCCCCTGGGTCCCCAGGAGAGTGTGCCCTGGTGTGTGTGTGCTTCACGAAAATGATTTCTTGGCTTCTTGGGGGAGGAGGACTAGAATGAGCTAAAGGAGGCTCGCAGGGATGAACTTGAAAACTTTGAGCATAGAGTCAGCAGCTCCTTTCTCGGCTGTACCAGGCTGAGCAGCTTCTGCCAGCTCACCGGTTCTCGGCCTCGTCCTCTGTCTGACAGGAAGAGTCCTGCCAGTGTCCCAGAGGACAAGGAACGTGCAGGAGTGTGCGTGTGAGCACTGGAATGTGTGAGCTAGAAGTGTAAGTGTGCTTTGTTAGGAAACTGCAGAGCCCTTGGCTGATGAGTGACAAGGACAGGTACGTGGAGAAGGACTCTAGAGAAGGTTGTTGTCCTCAGACACCAGCAATGTCACCGGGGGGCTTCCTGGTTCACTAGGGCCCAGGGCCATCAGCTCTGTGAAAACTGGCCTTTCCCTGAGGTGACTAATAGGCTTTAGTCAGTGCTCTTAAGTAGAATGCTTCATGAAACATTCCTCCTATGATCTGCAATGGGCACACCCAGCACCCAGGATTACCTGGGTTTTGGCCACCAGGGTACCTGGGAAGCCAGGATAATAACCACATGGTGGGAGTAAGTACAGTTGCTCCCAGTACCCAGCCAAGCCCCGCCTTTCCTTTCGTTACCTACCAGGTGCCTGCCTCTTGTCTCTTCCTCTCCAGGTCTCAGCTGAGGTGATATGTCCTCAGGGCAGCCTTCTGGATCCCATCAGACTAAATGAGGCCACAGTTACTTAGTCCTATGAACTTCCTTTGTTGTAATCAACCTATTATGTGATTAACATTATGTCCCACCTGACTGTAGACTCCTTTGGGTGAGGGACTAAGTCTGTCTTGCTCTTCCTATTGCCCTTAGGGCTGGGGGTAGAGAAAGACCTCAGTGAACAGTTGAATGAATGAACCAAGGGGTGGGGAGGGGAAAGAGTGTTGGAGCAGGCAGGAAGCTAAATGTTTGCTAAATATTCCGTGCGTCTGAAGAGAGGTTGGAATGGTGAGGAGTAGAGGTTGGTGATATGAATAGTAAACTTTAGCTTAAGAGCCACTGTAGAAATTGAAGCAGGCAAGGTTTTAGGTTTAAGCTATTCAAAGCTCACTTCTGGACCAAGTGAAGGGCCGGCTCAAGGGCACACAGACAGGAGGAACAGTCAAGAAACTATGGAATAACCCAGGGAAGGGGTGAAGGCCTGACCTACAGCAAGGGCCACAGGGACAGAGAGGTTGTGATAGTCTGTGGGACTCGAATTCAGTTGTGGTACAGCACCTTAGGGCAGAGCCTTGCTCATGCAGACATGTAGGGAAGTTTAACCACTGGGAGGAGGAGGAAGAAAGAAAAAGGAGGTTGGGCTGCGGATGGATGGAGGATAAATGGTGGAAGGAAGGTGTCTGCCTGGTTAGCAAGAGAATGGATGGATGGGTGGATAGATGGATGGATAACTGGATGTATGATAGATGGTGAATGGGTGCCTGGGTAAAGTCTCTTGGCGAATTTTTACTAATTTAGACTTTGAAGCAAGTTGTCAGCATACTTGTCCCCAGAATTTGGTCTAGTCATTGAGCAGATAGGCCCTAGAAGATCTGTTTTTTTTAGCTCCAGAATTAGCCATGCTGCCCCTGGTCAGGCCCTGAATATGTCAGGTCACCTTAGCACCCTCAGCCCTAGTCTCCAAGTAGCTGGTCTCCAGTAGGGGAGGTGCTGGGTATATGGGACACTGTTTACAAGTGATTCTCCATCTGGCCCAGTTGCTGAGAAAGGATGGCTGCTTCCCTCTCAGAGTTGACTTCCTATGAAAGCAAGAGCAACAAAATTAGAATTTATATTTTGGGTCCCTCGGCCTTAGAGGATAATTTCCTTCAGTCTCACGTCATCATTTAGAATCTGAAACTAGATCATTTGGATTTTGAGATCAGATCAGCCAGCCCCTGTGCCTGTCCTGGAGGAGTGAGGCCAGAGCCCTGTGGTTGGGCCCCTCAGCAGCAGTAGGCAGTGGCTTGTGAGCTTTGATACCAGATGGCTCCTCTCTTCCATCTAGGGCATGGGTATGCTGAAGAGGTCTGACAAGAAAGCTCTTGTGGGGCTGGAGGTAGGAGGTGGCACAGGCAGAGAGAGTCACATGAGCCAGCTGTTGTCTAGCTCCAGAAAGCTGGGGAGGGGCCTTCCAGCCAGCAGAGTGCGGAGTTGAGTCTTTAACCTGCTGGGCCAGTGCATGGGCGCCATCTTTGCCGGCCACCTCGTGGTTCACCTGACTGCTGTCTCCATCGATCCAGCAGATGCCAATGTGCGGGACAAGAGCTATGCAGGGCCACTGCCCGTCTTCAACCGCAGCCAACACGCACATGTCATTGAAGATCTGCATTGCAACTTGTGCGACGTAGATGTGTGAGTGAGTGTGGGCTGAGGGTGTGTGGGTGGTGAGTGTGCCCTGGGAAACTGCCAGTGGGCACTCAATGCAGAGAGGGGCAGGCCCAAGGCTTTAGAGTTATCCTGATGCCTCAGAACCCTTGTGTTTTACCTAGTCAAGAATCTTGATAAAGTGACAGAGAACTGGGTGGAGAAAGAAATTGGAAACAGAAGATGAGGAATGGCATTTCCAACAGTTAAAGTAGGAAACATTTGGCACTGCCACAGACTTTCCTAATGACTAACTCTGCCAGCAACCCCAAACCTCACCCCCCAATTCTCACAAGCATTTTCAGAGAGGGGCAGGAGGGGAATTAATGCTTCAGTACTTACCATGTGCTAAGTGCTTCTGAACAACCCTGCAGGGTGGGCAGCGTCTTCATCAGCTCACAGAAGAGGAAGAGCCCAATGCTGCAAAAGGCTGAGAGGCCTGCCTGAGGTCATATTGCTGTTGGATAGCAGAATCAGATTCACAACCCAGCCTGCTTGGCCCCCAAGCCTGTACTGTTATCCTCAGTTACGCATGAGGAATCTGAGACCCAGAGATGCCAAGTAACTTCTTCCAGATCACACTGCTAGTGGGAAGGGCAGTCAGAACGTGCAGAGCCCATACCCCCTTGGCTGTCCCGGACTGCCTCCCTAGGCCCCTCCCTAGCTGGAAGCTGAAGCTTCCAGCCTCAGGCAGGGGTTTGGGGATGGGGGTATGGTCCAAGGCTAGCTCCACAGTTCTAATCTTGAGATCTAGCAGCCTGTTGAAGGGGGTGTGTCCACAGGACAGAGTAAGAGCTGATGGCATTAAGGCACCGGAGAGTTTGGTGTTCAATCGTCTTTTCCTTCACTAGGCACTAGTCAGTGCATTGTTCTTTAGTGTATGCTATGGCAGTGGTGACCCACTCCGTATTGTTCTGAGGGAAAGGGTTGCAGCTCACTCCTTCACATCCCTTTGGGCTTGCATCCCCTGCGGTGAAATGCTCACCTAGATGTCAGCTTGCTCCTCTTCTTTTGGCTCTCTCTGGGTAGCCCAGACAGACTGAGGTTTTCTGGAAGAATGCCAGTAAAATTCCCGTAGACTGGCAGGGAAACAGGGACTCAAAAAATGGAGAATTCAGAAAAACCAGTGCACGCCCTGGACCTAGCAGCGTTGCCTGGTCCCAGACCTGCACCGTCTCCTGGCAGGGCTCATGGGTCCTTGCTTGGAAAGGAACCCCCATTTCCATTTCATACCACCGTCATGCGGGTATGCAGTCCCAGAGTGTGAAAGTGTAAAGCCTCTCAACCACTCCTTCCTGCCTTGGAGTCCCCTGGCCTTTCAGAAGCGAGGCTTCCTGTGGGTGCTCTGCTTCGCAGTGCCGCCAAAGGGCATGCACGCTACCTGTCGCCACGCTCCGTGGTGGAGCGGAAGGCCAGGTGGATAACCTGCTCCAGGTCTGGTGTCTGGGTCCCTGGTCCCTCTGCCGCGCGCTCCACTGCCCAGCGGTCTGCGGGAAAGTGCGGAAAAAGCTAGCCAACTGCGTTGTGCCCCTTCCACCCCTTCCCGCAGGAGCGCTCGCTCCAAGCACTGCAGCGCCTGCAACAAGTGTGTATGCGGTTTTGACCACCACTGCAAGTGGCTCAACAACTGCGTGGGCGAGAGGAACTACCGGTGAGAGTGAGACACAGGCCGCACCTTTGCCTGGGGATGCATGGGTCTGAGTGTGAGCCAGGGACCCTGAGTCTGCATATGCAGCGGGGTAGGGGTGGTGTGCATTAGCGTGTGCTGGTCTGAGGGTGATGCTCCTGATGGCTGCCTCCTGGGACTGCTGAGGGTGGGTTTGGGGTCTTCTTCCTGCTGGGGCAGCCGCTCAAATTAATCTTTGCCCTAAGCCTTTGACTGCATGAGGAGTTGGGGCTGTGGGGTTACAGGCCTGGGTCCCCCTCCCATCCATGGGCCCTTCTGAGTTCTGGGCCCTTACCCAGCTGGAGCACCTGGGTGCTGACAGCTGCCCACGGCTGGGCCCAGGCTCTTTCTACACAGTGTGGCATCTGCCTTACTGGGTGTCCTGCTCCTCGTGCTGGTGGCCACTTACGTCTTTGTGGAGTTCTTTGTCAACCCCATGCAGCTGCGCACCAATCACCACTTTGAAGGTCAGTTCCAGCTCCTGGCCCACTCTCACCCTCCAACCCTGGGTCTGTTCCGGTCACTGGTCATAGCCCCAGATGAGCAGTCTGCCTGTGCCTTGCAGTCCTGAAGAATCACACAGATGTATGGTTTGTGTTCCTGCCCGCTGCCCCTGTGGAGACGCAGGCTCCTGCCATCCTGGCCCTGGCGGCCCTACTCATCCTTCTGGGCCTGCTTTCCACAGCCCTGCTGGGCCACCTGTTCTGCTTCCACATTTATCTCAGTAAGTTACCCCCTCCCCTGCCCTCACACACACACACACACACACACACACACACACACACACACAGACACCCCTAAACCTACACCTGCCTTACAGGGGATAGGGGTCCCTAGGCCACAAGGAGGTACCAGCTGTGCTGTAGAACCCTGAAGCCTTCTCAGTACTGCCTTTCTGTGGTGCCTTGGTCTCACTTCATGGGTTAGTGTATTTGGGGACAGTGGTTTTAGGCTGGGGCTGGGTACCCTCCCTTACCTTCTGAACTCTAGGATCCCCTTTCCACTGCATTGAGCCCTCTCCTCACCCCCTCAGTGTGGCACAAGCTCACCACCTATGAGTACATCGTGCAGCATCGCCTGCCACAGGAGGCAAAGGGGGCCCACAGGGAGCTCGAGTCATGTCCCCCCAAGATGCGGCCCATTCAGGTATAGAAGTGGCTCAGAGGGCTAAGGGGGTGGGTGTTGGGGCCTGGGTATGGGAGGGGTTGTGGGCTGTGTAGCAAGCAGCAGTGATGAGACAGGGCAAAGGGAAGTAGGCCTGGAACCGCAGCTGGATTAGGGGATGCTGGAGGCAATAGGAGCAAGGCCAAGCCTATACTAAGCATGTGTCTGCTTGCTCAAGAGTGGACACAGCCAGAGGGAGCTCTGTGTTTCCCTGACCCCATGTGCACTCTTGCGCAGGCTCCAAGCATGTATTGGAGGTAATGGAATGTGGGAGCCTGAAAGTGAGCATCTTGGGGTTGTAGAAAGGAGAGGGATGGACTAGCAAATAGGTAACTAGGATGGAGCCATCAGTTCTCTATACCCTCCCACCCCCATGCCCCTGAGCCCTTGTACCCACTACCCTATTTAATCTTTAAAAGAGCCCACGAGGCAGGTAATGTAACTGTACCCATGTTGCAGATGAATCTGTTGAGGCCAAGAAGGGTTAAACAAGCTGGGTTTGGGCAGAGTTAAGGTCTTTGCACTCTGAAGCTGGAACCCTCCAGCCTAGCTCCTGACCAGTCTATCCCCATTCCCACGCCCCATGGCTTCCTGAGGTTAGTAGCTGGGAGAGAGGGTGGTCCAGTTCTTGGAGCCCCCAGGGACTGGGAAGGCAGGGGGCCCAGGCAGGCCTTGCTGGGAAGGCTGAACTCTGGATCCCAAGTCCTCATGGCAACTAGACACAAACACAGGCTGGTGGGCGGGTTGGGAGAAGGCTTGGGACCCCGCCTCTCCTGTTGTCATTGCCAACAGGGGTGGGCCAGGCTCCCAGGCGTGGGAGGCCTGGGGGAGTGCTGACTTTTGGTGGGAGCCCCCCTGCCACACCACCGTGTACATAAATTGGTGCCTGGCACTGAACCCATCTAAGTGCAGTGGCAGCCATCCTGGGAGTGGGCATCTTCTCCATACCCACTTCACAGAGGAGACAGGCTCAGAAACATAGGCCAGGGACTTTCTCAAGCTTCATAATCAGTACCCTTGAGGCAGGACTTGCCCTAGGATGCTTAGACTGGAGGGCTCTAGACCCCTGCCCTGTAGTCACTGCCTGCCTAGGCTTGGAGTCAGGTGTGGCAGCAAAAGCAACAAGGGCGTTTAATATCCTCTGCACGTGACCTGAGAGAGGCCTCCCCAGGGGGAGGAGGGATATGCTTGTCCCATTGCAGAGAGGACAGTGCCGAGGTAAGAGGTACCATTCTGAATGCGCACATTTTGAGGGGCTCTGTGAGAGGATCCTAGGAACAGCTGTGATGAGGGGAAGGGGGTTTGAGTGGGCACACCCTGGTATACCCTCAAACTTCCCCAGCTGGCTAGGGCCTGCCTCTTGTCTCATCCTGGCCCCTCAGGTTTTTGGGACCATCCTCTGCTGCTGCTTCTCCCACCCTTCCTGCCCCACCCACTTCTGGAGCCCAGGGGCACTAGGGTAGGCTTTACCCCTTTCTGCCAGGCCCTGGAGGGGTGCTGAGTCCACACTGGGGAAGAGGAAAGATGTGACTTGAGTATTACCTGAAGGTCCTAGTCATTGCCTTGAGGCCCCAGTCTCACAGCTGGCCTCTGACCCCTTTTCTAGTGTCCTCTGATGAGGCTGTCACCCCCCCACACACACACACTACTTTTCAAAGGGCTAGCCTGGACATTGATTGGGGATGAGGCTTACCCTGGGCCTCAATCTCTGTATCTGTGCAGCCGGCATGGGACCAGCTGGGCTCTGTCCCCCAGATCTGCCAGGGCCCTGAAGGCAGCCTCCCCACCCCAACCCTGAGCAGGAATGCGGGAGGGGCCCCACTCTGGAGCCGTTGCCCCCAAACATAGGCTTGTTTTAGAGACAGTGTTGCTGTTACAGTGTCATCTCTGCATTAGTCAGGACGCCTGGGTCTCCATGGAAACGACTTCAGAGCAGGCGACAGCTGTCCCGTTGCCCTCCCCCACCCAGTGGGGGTGGGGCATCATTGTCCTGGCTCTGCCCTACACCCTCCATACCCAGGTTGGCTTTTTCCTAGCTTTCGTCTCCTCATCTGCATCCTCGTGGGCGTCCTGTTTGTTGGATGGTAGCCCAGCCCATTTCTGTAACCTCCTGGCCCCAGGTCCCTGTACTTTCAGGGGTTGGGTCTGCCACTCCCAGTGTGGCTGTGAGGATCAGTGATTAAAGAAGACACAGAACTTGCCTATAAGCCTGATCCCGGATGGGGCTGTGGTGCCGTTTTTTCTCCACATCTTAATGCCTCCTCTTTTGAGGTGGGGGAGACCTCCCATTGTCCCACCAGTCCCATCACTGCCCCCTTGCACCCCCTCCCACCCTCCCAGGTAGCCAGGATTGTGGCTGGTACCTTGAGGACTTAGCTCCAGTCCATCATGCACACAGCCTTGGGTCCACACTCTGGCATATGAACGGCTAGCCAGTCTCCCAGCCAGGGAAAAAATCAGTTCAGAGACTGGAGCCCTGGGAGGAGAGAGGAACAGGAGAGGGTTACTCTGAGAGCCTCTTCCCCACCACCCACTTTGGCCAGAGCAGACTGGGTGCATTGAACCTATGAGGCTGGGGGCTTCCTGGAGGAGGAGTTTGACTAGATGAAGTAAAGAAGATGGTAGGGAGGGGTAAGGTCCAGAAATGGGTGTTTTAAGCCTTGGCCTACAAGAGGGATTTGCCCAGTATAGCTGGAAAGCTTGGAGGATTGTCATAGATCTCTGCACGCAGACTTACCAGAGAGACCAGTGAGAAGGGGGTGTTCTGTATAGGATGGGGTATTGTATACAGGATGGGATGGGCTCAGGACCCAGAAGGCCTTGGATCCATACCTGGCCCCCCAGCCTCCCTGACCCACACCTTCCCCAGGAGATGGAGTTCTACATGAGGACCTTCAGCCATGTGCGCCCAGAACCCCCTGGCCAGGCCAGGCCTGCCACAGTGAATGCCAAGTGAGTGCGACCTGGGCATGTGCCAACTGGACATCTCTCATTGGCATGGCAGGGACATCTGAGGTGGGGGAAAGGGGATAGACCAAGGCCAAAGTATAGGTCTGGGTCCAGACTGGCATGCCCTTAGACAAATCAGTGCCCCTTTCTGTGTGTTAGGAAGAGAAGCTTATTTGAGGACCTCCTGTGGGGCGGGATTTGAGGGAACAGTGGCCATCCAGCGATCATCCTTCCTCTTCCCCCTCAGTCTTTCCCAGTTCTTTGCCACCCAAGGCCAAGTGGAAGCCCCGCCACCCTCTTCCCCAGAGACTCGGGCTCTGTCCCCCCGGATCCGACCCCAGGTAAGGGGGACTGTGCTGGCCTCCTTACCCAGGAGGAAGGGGATGGAAAAGAACCCTCTAATCTGCCCCACTCCTCTGCTTCTTTGGGGGATGTGCAAGTCTAGGGAAGGGGGACTCAGGTTCTCCCCTCTCTCTGCAGAAAAAGAGGAAGCGGCGAGCGTATAAGGTGCCAACCTCTGGGACCTTGGACCCCGAATCGCAGCTGCCTAGGCTGCCAGGTGAGTGTCTCTTCCTGAGCTCTGAGGGAAGGAAAGGTAGGGTCCCGAGAGTGTCACAGTCCCCAGTTTCACATTTTCCTCCATCCCTGCAGGGCCCCGGGCCCCAGGCCACAGCTCCAGCTCCTTGTCAGATTCCGCCGGCGCCAGCCCAGTGCACGCCGCTGGGCCTGCAAGCGCCTACCACTCGGCATCAGCCGAGTCCATGGACGAGATTCCAGTGGCACAGACCCGCCTGGGCAGCGCCGCTCTGGCCGCCCCAGGGGGCAGGGGCCGAGAGCCTGGGCTGACGCTGCAGGTGCGTGCGCCCGCGGTTTTCGTGAGCCCGAGCAGCGGCAAGCCCGGGGCTCGGGGCAGCCCGGAGGCCGGCCTGGATTAGTCGGAGGAGAGGCAGGAGGGCCAAGGAGTAGCGGCCAGCCGGGATTCTCTATGCAAACACCCCCACCCTCGCCGCACCGAGTGCACTTTAGGAGCCCCTGCTGTCGGCGGGATGGGACCACTTACCCCACGACTCAGCAATACCCGCCCCACCGGCCATCATGCTCCAATAAAAAATTTTTTTTTTTAATGCTTTTGTGGACTTACTGCATACTTTCTTAATGGCAAGGTCCACAGGCCATCCTGGAGCTGGACCATTGTCAGTAGGCCTAGGGGTGGGGTGGGAGGGGCTCGTACATTGAGTCAGCACCCAGATTGTCATATGGAAAGGTACACGTGGACTGAAGTCGCTCTATTACAAGGCTCCTGGTTGTGGAAAGTACTCGGAAGGCTGCTTGGAGGTTATTTTTCTTGAAGATTAGGGTTTATACTTGAAGAGGGAAAGCAGGCTTTTGGATCCGGAGGCAGGAGCAGAGACTGCGAGGCTGATACCGGGGTAGGATGGGAATAAAGGAGTACGCAGACGCCAGAAGTCCTGGAGCTTTTTCCTGCATTTGGGATGGCAGTCGGTGTACCAGGATTCTGGGACTGGCCACTCGATTCGCTTATTGTTTCCTCTTGCTCCCAGTGCTCCCGAGTTGTGGCCTGGGGATGCTGCACGTTAATTGGAAAGCTGTGGTCTTGAACCAGCTCTAGACCCCCCTGCCATTGAGGCAGGGGCCTTCTCGTTCCTCTCCCCAGCCTAACTCTCCCCGCCCTGACCTTCTGTACCCTTCCACCAACCCCCGCCCACTCCAGCTCCCAAATGGCCTTGGGTTGTGGCTCTGAGAAGCTTCATCTCCCCCGTGGAGGTGGGGGCCTGCTTTGAACTTTGGGCGAAGCCCCGGATGAGGCTGTTTTCACATTAGGGGGTCATCCGAGGATGTCCAGAGCTGCAGGGTGCGGGTCTCTCCCAGCGTGAAAGCCCTGGAGCTGCCCTGGAGCTACTGGATGAGGCTTAAGCAGTAGCTCCGCCCCCCCCCCCCGCCCCGTGGAGCGCGGAGGGGGCGGGGTCTGGTGGGTGGGGCCAGCGTGACCTTGGTCATTCTCCCGCCGAGACAGCCCTCGGGGTGGGACTCGCTGTCTCTATGGAGACCGAGAAACAGGGGATAATACGGCGGAACCGCCCGGGCTGCAGTCCCGCCCTGGAGCCGGCAGGGAGCAGAGCTTTGAAGCCGCCTGGTCTCGCGTCCGTCGGTCCATTCTTGCGTCTTTCTGTCTACTGAACACGCACTGCAGGAACAGCCACCAGGTGGAAGCAGGTAAGAGACCCGGGCGCCGACCACCCTAATCCGTATCCTGTATGATAAGGAAGGAGGTGGGGTGGGAGCGCTCTGGAAGGGGTTCCAATCCCAAAGGGTACCAAGCCAGTTGAGCGGCCCAGCCCTGGGCCCCAGGCGTTCCTCCCCCACCTCCGCGCCTGGCTGATTGATGACTCCAGCTGTCCCAGTGGGGGCCAGCGGGTGGCCTCCGTTCTTGGGCGTGGCTGCTGCATCCTTGGCCTGCTAGACTCCTGGGACTACGGCCTGCGACGGGACTCCACCTGATTAGTACCAAGAATCCTTCCCACAGACAAGAGTGAGCACTGGATGCAGGATCCTGCCAGTCACCTGGGACAAGCATCTGTGGCCTGCAAGCTCCTCCAGACTTTACCCTTGGTCTGGGTCTCTGGATCCCTGGTGGGAGGCTGCAGTGTAGAAGGAGGGAAGGGGAGTGCTGTGTGTCCTGGGATTGTGGGCCCACAGAGTCATTACAATGTAGGGGCTGTAGGACCAGTCCCAGAAATTGCAGCTTAGGGATGGGTGAGGGTGGTTACTGGGAGAGGGTTTTCAGTGTTAAGGCCAGCGGTAAATATAAAGGGGGTGTAGTTCCTTAGGGGCCCAGGCTGTGGTCATTGGAGGCCTTAGGATAAAAGGCAGAAGTAGATGTTTGCTGAGGACATGACAGGGTGTGGTCAGGGGCCTGCAGTGGAGATGGGGGAGTCGACATGGGGGCTCTCAGTCGACATGGGGAGTCGACATGGGGGCTCTCAGTGCAGTACCTAGGAGTCTGGAAATGCAAGTCTGTGGGTGTGGACACTTGGGGAGCTTCAGGGCGGGGTTGAGCATGAGGCCAGAAAACTGTGGGTTGTGGACAATGGTGGGTATGAGGATGAGGTCAGAGGCTACAGGTTTATGGAGAGGGGGTGAGTTGTGAAGCTCTGGTTAGGGGGCTCAGTAAGAGCTGTGGGTATGTTGGGGGGGGTCCTAATCCCAAGACTGGGGTGTGTGTGGATGGAGGCAGCTGTAGTGGAGGGCTGAAGGTATGATCAAGGAGGCCTCAGTATTGGGCTGTGATACATGAAGGGAGTTTCAGTGCAGGGCTGTAGGTATGTTCAGGGGACTGCAGGGGGACTGTGAAGGTATAGTAGGGACACTTTAGTGCACGGCTGAGGGTATTATTGGTGGGTTTCTGTACTGAGCTGTTAGTGGATGTGTGGGGGTGGGTGCTTCGGTAAAGGTCCAGGCCCTCAGTCCCAGGGCTGGTTAAGGGTGCGGTCAGGGGAATAAGGCCGAGAATGTTGAGTGCCAGGGTTGAGTGCCTTCAGCTATGGCAGTGTGGACTGGTGTGACGGTGCTCAGGGTGTGGCCAGGGGCTTCCATGGAAGATTGAAGGTGTAGACACTAGGGAAGTATGCTTCAGCATAGGGTGTAGGTGTGAGGATTATAGGACCAAGGCCATAGTTCCAGTCACCAACATGCCTCTGGGGGCTCATAATTCTACAACCTGTACCCATGCTAGTCCCCAAATCACCTGCTCCTCCTAAGCTCTACACACTGGGAGGTTACAGCACCAGTGGATGGCAAGGGGCCAGGCGGCCATGGTTGTGCTCCAGGCGCTGGGAGTGCTGGTGTGCCGCACCCGTGGGCCCCAGTTCCCTAGCCCAGCCCAGCCCAGCAGCACTGGGAGCTTCTCTCTGAACCACTCTGACACCATCCTGCCCTTAGCAACATTCTCCCAGTAGCACTACCCTCCCTTAGCAACTGTCTCCAGGCTTCACAAACTGTGGCCAGGCCAGCCCCAAACTCCTGCTCCCCTCATGTTTTTGTTTAACAGCAAATAGTAACAAGGTCCTGGCTGGGCCAGCTGCACCCCTGCCTAAGGCACATAACCCCTGCTTATGCTTTGGCTCCCTTCTCAGCCTGGGCTGTGTCTTGCTGGGTCCTGATGACCCTGACAGAGACCCTGTCCTAAATACCTGCCCAACTAGCAGCCAGGCACGGAACTCCCAGGGAGGGGGGCCAGCCCTGCCAGCCTCACTTCCACCAGAGCAGGCCTCGTGCCAGGGCCAGACAAAGCCATGGCCCCAGCTGCTGCCCTCACAGTCTTTCTGGACAGTGCCACTCTGTTCCTAGCCTAGTGTGGGCATCATGATTTCATCTTTTGAACTCTAAGCCAGGGCTGGCATTAAGTGACAGTACCTTTCCTTTTGGGGCTCTGAGGCCCAGGGACATACTGAATGCTAGCCCCTTTCCCCAGGCAGCTCCATCTACGATTCTGAGGGTTTATGGCATAAGTGCCCATAACTCAGACCTTGGTAGATTCTGAGGTAGAGGCAGTGATGTTCTGTGCCCTGGGGAGAGGAGGGGTAGCTTGGCTGAGAGGTGACTGAAGTGGGTCATGTCTCCCCCCACCACCACAGGGTGGCATGGCAACGAGCACCGACGTGGCTGGGTTGGAGGAAAGCTTCCGCAAATTTGCCATCCATGGTGACCCCAAGGCCAGTGGGCAAGAGATGAATGGCAAGAACTGGGCCAAGCTGTGTAAGGACTGCAAGGTGGCTGACGGAAAGGCGGTGACAGGGACGGATGTCGACATCGTCTTCTCCAAAGTCAAGTGAGCCCCAGGCAGTCCTTGCTTCTGATGTTCCCAGAAGGTGGGGAACTGGGGGGCTGGAACCAGGGAAGACATGGAGAAGGGGGAAAACTAATGGTGCCCACATACCTGGCAGGGGAAAGTCTGCTCGGGTTATCAACTATGAGGAGTTCAAGAAGGCCCTAGAAGAGCTGGCAATGAAGCGATTCAAAGGGAAGAGTAAGGAGGAAGCCTTTGATGCTATCTGCCAGCTGGTGGCAGGCAAGGAGCCAGCCAATGTGGGAGTCACCGTAAGTACCTTGGCTGACGGGGATATGGGGAATCATGGCTGGGTGTGGAGGGCTGGGCTCCCTAACCAGGCATCCCTGGGGGAACAACTCTATCCAAACAGAAAGCAAAGACAGGAGGTGCTGTGGAACGGCTGACCGACACCAGCAAGTACACAGGCTCCCATAAGGAGCGCTTCGATGAGAGCGGCAAGGGCAAGGGCATTGCTGGGCGTCAGGACATCCTGGATGACAGCGGCTATGTGAGTGCCTACAAGAATGCGGGCACCTATGATGCCAAGGTCAAGAAGTGAGGCCTTAGAAGACCCCCAGTGCGGCTGCCCCCAACAGATGCTCAGGCCTGGGCCTAAAGGGCATGTGGAGCAAGAGAGCCCTGTCCCCTCCCCGCTGGACCTACCACCCAGCGCTTTCTGCCCAGCCCCACCAGGACTCTGACCCAGACTGCTCTGCATCCCTTTCCCCCTTCCTCTTTCCTTCCTGACTTCAGCTATCTGGGGAGAGTCTGTGCCTATTGCCTCACTGCCCCAACCTAGCCCCAGGCATGGCTAACCCCTGCGTGCTTGCCTCATATTTAAGCTGCTGCTCTGGCCAAGTGCCTAATTTTTAGCCAGACCTCAATAAAGACACCTTTTGTACCAATATGGCCTGGTCCAGTTTATAATAATAGGGTTATTGACATTCACACCTTGATGACCTCTGTTGCCACTCACTTGCATGTCACACTCTGCCCAGAAAAAGACATACATCAGGCCCCTTCCATTAGCACAGAGCCAGACTGCCTGAGGATGCTCCTTAGGAAATTCTATGGCCTCTCACCTCAGTCTTTACCCAAAATCTTAAGATCACAGCTTGCTGTCCTATTAGGGTTCAGTCTTGGCCTCTCCAGGAAAGAGGAATGAGACAGCAGACTAGGCCTGGGCCAGGTGTTGGGGAGGGCCCAGTGCCAGGCCTCAGGTGTATGTCTGCTGACACGTCCCTACCTCAATGGGGCCACCAAGGTTAGTCATTTTGGGGTCTAACTCAGAAGGTCAGAGAATGCAAGACCAGTAGGAATGTTAGAGAGTAGATAGTCCAACTCCCTAATTTTAGAGCTGAGGCCCAGAGAGTGAGGGGGCTTCTGCAGAACAGAGCCCAGAACCATGTTTCTTGCCCCAGGCCAGGCTTTTTCTAACAGCAAGCCCTAACACTGATTTCCAAAAATGGTGCTGGATGGCCAGTGATAGAGCCTGGCACCCAACACCAGCCTTTGGCAGGTGAGCAGGATGTCCAACAGTGAAGGGGCTGCTTACTGATTCCCTCGCATTTGTTCAACATCCCAGGTTGGGAGAGGAGAGGGGAAATCTCTGGTGCTTGAGATCAACCTTTTTTCTTCTCTGAGGCTCTGGGTATTAGGCCATAGCTATTTCCAAGCCCAGGGCTTTGGGGCCAACTCTCCTTCCTTCCCGCTGAGAAGCAGACTAGATGGAACTTAGGGCCTGCCCAGGAGAGGGCAACTCCCAAGGATGCTAGAAAAGGCTTAACAGATACACACCCACAAATGCCTTTTTTTTTTTTTTCTTCTTCTGACGTGGATAAGGCAGCAAAGTTTATAGCTCTTTATTCCCTCATCCCATAGACTGTTCTGGGATGTTCCTTCCCCAGGTAAGCCTAGAGTCCCTGAGTCCAACTCTATTTGGAGTGGGGTTGGAGAAGAATAGTATGGGCAGGAACACTAGGAAGATGAGATGGGAATTACAGTGGGGAGGTCAGCACCTGGCCACAGCAGAGCCTTGCCTAACAGCTGGTAGCTATGGGCTCCTCCTGACTCAGCTGACCACATCACTGCCCAAGGAGGAGTTTCAGAGAGCTTTATCTCTCCCACCATCAGACAGTAAAAGGAATGATTTCTTCAGTCTTAGGGAATTTGTTGAATTGCAAACTTAAGTGAGCAAAATAAGACTGAAACCCAAATCCTTCTGGCTTGCATTTACTAAAATAATTCCCATGGTGAAAAGAATTTAACTGTATTGCAAATTGGTCCAGGCTATTAAGCAGGTGAGTACCATCCAATGTATAGGGGAGCAGCAGCTCAGCTCCTCCTATGACTAGCAACATGGCTTAGAGGAGTCCAGAGAGAGAAAAGGCTGAGCCACAAAACTCTACTTTATAGGAGTAAAGCACCTCTTCTTGAAAAGTAGTTACAGAACCTGAGAGAAATAAAGGCCCTCCAGGAGCCAGTAAACTCCTTAAGGACTGATGGATCTAGCAGAATCTGGTATGTGGCACCGACCACCCAAATAATGCCACTTTAGCCCTTCAGTTATCACTGTTCCATCCTCCACAGTCTCCTCATGGTGGAAAGCTTTGGGTACCCTGGCTAGCAAAGCCAGATAGGCAAGGAAGAGAGGTTAGGTTCTGTGAGAGCCATTAAAACTCTATGTATGGGGGCGCCTGGGTGGCTCAGTGGGTTGAAGCCTCTGCCTTTGGCTCGGGTCATGATCTCAGGGTCCTGGGATCGAGCCCCACGTAGGGCTCTCTGCTCAGCACGGAGCCTGCTTCCTCCTCTCTCTCTCTCTGCCTGCATCTCTGCCTACTTGTGATCTCTATCTGTCAAGTAAATAAATAGAATCTTAAAAAAAAAAAAAAAAAAAACTCTATGTATGGCTGGCAAGAAGGCTACACTTGTCAGATTGGCCCTGCTCCTCCTTTTGGACGTAGAACTTCCCTGAGAATCCAGTTTCCATCCCAGCCCTGTTTCCTTTTTCCACCCAACAGTGCCAGGCCTATGGTGAGAAATCCCTCTCCACTGACTTTCTACTTGCTTCAGGAACCTTCCCCACTCCATGTTGAGCGCACTTAGCCCCACAGGGCAACAACTCTTTGGCCCTCTCTTTGACACCCCCATCCCTGTCTCTGCCCTCTGGACCAAGGGAAATTAGGAAACACAGTTGACTCCCCCAGACATGGCCAGCAACCCTAGAGAGGTGCCTGGCTTGGGGCAGGACCAGTCACTTTCAGTGCCAATAGAAAATAGGGTGAAAGGTGATTGACTCAGTCTGCTCCTCCTTAGAGGTACCCTAAATGTGTTTTGGGTCTAGCATTATTAGATTATTAGGGCAAGGAAGGGAGAGCTGGGGTTGAGAAGTTCATTATTTTTCCCTCAATGGTCTACCCATTAAGTTGGCCTGTGAACTGATCCAGGACACTGAAATACGACTACTCAGGGCTATAAGGCTATTGGCTGAGGCTACCCTACCTGGGCAAGGTTTATACTCTTTGGGGTCCTCTTAATGGGGCCAAGGCAGGCCTAGGAAATTCAGGAGGGGAGCTGTTCTCACTACTTCCACAGAGTACAAGCTCACTTGAGTTCCTGCAGGGCCATGCTCCTCAAAGAAACTTATGGCTCCTTTGTACATGCTTCTTTTGAGAACCCACATAAAATTCAGAGGTCTGTGGATTTTATTTATAACTTAGAGGTGTGCGATCTTGGTTGTGATCTTCATGTCTCATTATTTTGGCTATAGCTCTCCTTTCCTGCAGAGTACCTGGGTCAGGGGAGCAAATAAGTATATAATCTTTCCACCTGTCTCTCTCTCTCTCTGACACGACCCTGGAGATGGAGAGAAGCACAACATGGAGTTAGGCTGACAGTCCTTTGCCTTCTACGTGCTCCCTGGCAACATTAGCTGCCTAACTACCGTGAAGCAGAAACACACTTAAAGCCACTTTCATTATCTTTCCCATCGATTTTTAAATGCCCAACCAATCAGGATTTGGAAAAATAATGCCTCGGGGCTAAAATACAGGGTACTCGTGTAAAGTGAGCCCAAAGCTAATATTTGGAAGCTTCATCTCTGGTCTGGACCACACCAGTCTTCGCTCACATCTCTGCCTCCTCTTTGGTTTCCCCTACTCCACATGGCCCTCAACACATTCCTCTTACACAGAAAGCTTCTCAAACACAAGTGTCACTCCTTTGTCTTCCCATCTAAAATCTTCAAGGACCAGTGTGACCTAGTTCCTACTCATCTCTTCTCAGCACCTCAGTTCCCTGAATGGACCATGTTCCTTCCCATTGCCTCTGTCCTTGGCCCTATGCTTTGCTTGGTGACTTCTTATTCATTCTTCAGGTCTCAGTTAAAAGATCCTTTCTTGGGGCGCCTGGGTGGCTCAGTGGGTTAAAGCCTCTGCCTTTGGCTCAGGACATGATCCCAGGGTCCTGGGATTGAGCTCCCATTAGGCTCTCCACCTGGCAGAGAGCCTGCTTCCTCCTCTCTCTCTGCCTGCCTCTCTGCCTACTTGTGATCTTTCTCTGTCAAATAAATAAAATCTTAAAAAAAAAGATCCTTTCTTTAGGGGCGCCTGGCTGGCTCAGTGGGCGGAGCATGTGACTATTGATCTTGGGGTCAAAAGTTTGAGCCCCACATTGGGCATAGAGATTCCTTAACATAACTACAATAAAATTAAAAAAAAAAAAAGAAAGAAAAAGAAAGATCATTTCTTTAGCAGACATTTCCTGACACCATATCTCCCAGGCTAGGACAGGTCCTATATATATATACATATATATGTATACATATATATGTATACATGTATACATATATATGTATATATATACATATATGTGTGTATATATGTGTACACACACATATATGTATATATACATATATATGTATACATATATGTATACATACATATATATACATATATATACATATATACACATATATATACATATACATACATATATACATATATATATACATACATATATATACTTTTTCTCCCAGGAGAACATATATATTCTCCCAGGATCATGACCCACATCTTTCCTGCCCTGCAATCCCTCTAGGGGCTTCAGACTCTTCTTGCATTCTTGGCCTGGGAGACTCCGCATGCCCCCTCTATCTGTTACCACTATAATTCTGCAAACTTCCACTCATATGACAGGTCCTCAGTGATGCCTTCTCCAACTCCCCAGAGTGGGAATTCCTTCCTCTGCCTCTCTCTCTCCCTCTCTGTTTCTCTCTCCAGGGCATCTTTGGGCTTGTATTTAGAACTGTTTGATACCAATACCAAATACCATCACATGAGTTTTGCTTTTCTCAACTAAACTGTTGGTTTCTCCTGAGCTGACCCCAGACAGTGTCACCTTTTCACTATCATAGGAGGAAACTCAAAACATGTTTGATGGACCAATCAATATAGAATCTCTGAAATTCGTTCTAACACAAAACATACCTGGCCGTTGATGTTCTTTTTTAACCTTCGACTACATAGTTTCAAGTGACACTCAAAAAAATGTCTGATGTTTTTTTCCTTTCAACATTTTCAGCCAAATGTTTCTATGTGATATGATGCATAGGATTAAGTGCCAACTATTTCTGTGGGCAGGGAGAAAGAATGACCCAATGGGAGGAGATTAAAAAAAAAAAAAAGGAAATAAAAAGGACCAATACAATGTAATCGGAATAAGATTTTTTCTTAATCTTGTGGGTAAATACCACCATACTAGTGGCAATGACACCGAGAGCCCCCCTGGGGCTGAGAGGGAAGCTGCAGAGAAGGTGCTCAGCACTAGCTCCATAAACTAGGCTCTGGAACAGAGTCTGAGACACTCTGTATTAGATACTGACCCGTGTCATGTGCCACTGGTGAGGAGGAAGACAGCGTGCTTTTCCCAAAGGGTGACGATCTCCCCAAATGATGACTCTTCTCAGGAGGCAGGAGTGCTTTCCCAGAATAACCTTTTTGCTCTTTATTCAGCTGCTGCAGCAGATACTCATTAGTTACCACCAGGGATCTGAGGCACAGGCGAAAAAGACAGTCATGAAATCATAAAAGCAAAGCAGATGCTATTCAGACCTGAAATGTTTACTAAAGACAAATGTAAAATGAAGTAACATCTTTAAATAGAAAGAACTGACCGATTTATGAGTGGGTTATTTTAAAAGCAGGCTGACAGTTTCTTTCTTCATTACAGTTCTGTTTGATTATGTTCCAGACTGACTGCAGCAATAACATAAGTTCACATTTTATATAATGATTGTTCTATTCTTTCCAAAGCACTTTCATGATGAGGTAAGTGGAAGTACTGGAAGACTGGCACCTGACCAGGCCTCCAATTTCTACCCCCAAATCTTAACTTCTACTTCATCTAATTGATCCTAATTAACTAATGGTGCTAGTCATGACTGTATTCTTGGACTCTGTATTACCATGTAATATTAAAAGCTATCAGAGGCTAACAAAAAAAAAAAAAGCATGCACAATATTGTTCATTGTAATACTATTTGTAACAGCAAAAATACTTTCTACCTAGATGTCCATCAATAGAAGACTAATCACAGTTGGAGTCCTATGCAGTTATAAAAAGGAAGGAAAATTAACTCTATATACTGCTGTGAAGTGATTTCTAAGAAAAAAACGTTAAAACAACATTATGCTTTTTATATTTGTCTGAATAAGATAACATTTTGTAGATTTGACTTTGAGACCATGTAAATAAATGTTTTACATAATTACAAAAGAAGAGTAAATAAAAACAACTAAATTCCTTATGAATCAAAGGCAAAATGAAACAAGTTGAGGCTGTATATTGAATTGATGGTTTAACAACACACACAAGAATTATTTCAAGTTACTTTAAAATATAGCAATTTGAGGGGCGCCCGGGTGGATCAGTGGGTTAAAGCCTCTGCCTTCTGCTCAGGTCATGATCCCAGGGTCCTGGGATCGAGCTCCGAATCAGGCTCTCTGCTCAGCAAGGAGCCTGCTCCCTCTCTCTCTGCCTGCTCCCTCTCTCTCCGCCTGCTCCCTCTCTCTCTGCCTGCCTCTCTGCCTACTTATGATCTCTGTCTGTCAAATAAACAAATAAAATCTTTTAAATATATAGCAATTTGACTATACATCACTTAAAGAGATATACCCTAATGTTTTCAAAATGCGGTCCCCAAATCAGCAACAGCCATCACCTGGAAACCTATTAGAAATGTAAATTCTCTGTACCCATCAGAACTGCTGAGTCAGAAACTCAGGCTGGGGACCCAGCAATCTACATTTCATTAAGTTTTTCAGGTGATTCTGATACCCTGTTTGAGAAGGATGATTTTATGCTGCTCCCTCTACTTTTGTGTTTGAAATAATTATAATGAATAGTTTAAAAAAAAGCCATCTAGAATGGGTCTGGGTCTAATTCTCTGAATATGAAGCTATCCTAATTCACAAGGTATTCATGAAGTAAAGTGTGAGGATGCAAGTATGGGGATGGGGTTCTTATGTTTAAACTTCAATTAAAGTCATAGCAAAGGTGTTTTGCAAATCAAAATGTCAAGAGCTTCTGTAAATGTACTAATAGTCTTAAAGCTTCTGATTTGTCTGGCTGGCATTCTGAGGGTACCATTTTTTGAAGAGGCGGATACTGTCGAGCTCCTCTGAAGAGAACAAATACATTGGACTTCGTCACTCTCCCTAAGTGCTTGATGTCTCTCCTGAGATCGTTAGGAGGCAGGCATTTCCCAGAAGAGCCAGATGGCTGATTTTAGGGGCATGCAGTGACCAAGGAAAGCTAGCTGACTCAAACAAGGATCCTGTTGGATCTAGCGAGAAACTACTTATTTTTTTTTTAATTTTATTTATTTATTTGTTAGAGAGAGAGAGAGCACAGGCAGACAGAGAGGCAGGCAGAGAGAGAAGCAGGCTCCCTGCTGAGCAAGGAGCCTGATGTGGGACTCGATCCCAGAACACTGGGATCATGACCTGAGCTGAAGGCAGCTGCCCAACCAACTGAGCCACCCAGGCGTCCCGAGAAACTACTTATTTTTAAGGTGTTGCAACCCACCTTAAGCCCTCATGTGTCCTGGAACACAGAAGGTTTACACACAGATACACCTACATACGTGAGGTTTACACACAGAATGGAGTTATTTTGAAAAGGATATAGACATTATCAAATAATACAAAGCTGATAAAGGAAAGTAAGTATCTGCCTCCAGAAGCTAGCTAGATAGGCCTTCTCCTACCTCTGACTTTCGTGGAGAAGGGCCACTGTCTCCTCCAGCTTTTTCAGCTGGGCAAGCTCCTGGTTCAGGCAAGCCACCTGCATGTTCAGCTGTTGGTTTTTGCGCAGAAGATCATCTACAAAGGGTACAGTAGCCAGGCATGAACAGGATTCCAAGCCACTATCTTTGAGCAGAGCTTAAGTAGTCAGGTAGCCATCTAAAGAATTAAGGGCCCCACTGCCTCCATCTCTGCACTCCATTCACCATTCCCTCAGAGACAGCAGATATGGGGCTTAGGAACAGAGATATCAGAATTAAAATTCAATCATTTAATACTGCACATTAGTTTATTTTTCAGAATTTCACTAAGGTTAATAACCCTGCCCCACCATGGTTATGAGGATTCAATCCTCATTTAGCAGAGTCAACACATTAGGCGTCTCTATATTCTCCATTTTAGTTTGTGAATGTAGGTGCTTCAGTGCTTACGGAATCTGTGAAAACATCTGGAACTGTGTTAGGCACATAGTAATAACTCAATGAGTATGCACAGAAACTGAATTTGTAGTTGAGGCACTCATACCTAGTTCCCCCAAAATGTTACCGTTGCCTGCAATAATGAACACGGGAACTCTGGTCCTAAGGAAGTCAGTCTCATAGAACAGTACTTCTTAAACTTTAATACGCTTACAAATCACCTGGGGATTTTGTTAAAAACAGATTCTAATTCAGTAGGTCTGAGGTGAAGCCTCAGTTGATGAAGCTTATTAAATGGGTCATCTATAAACAAACAGTAGTCTTGGGACACACCACATGTTGCTTTCCTGAACTCACCATAAGTGTGTGACTGGTGCCCACTCACAATCAAGGTAGCAGCACCTTCCTCCAACTGCTTGATTTTTTCTGACAAAACGAGGTTTTCTTCTAGCACTCTGACCAGTTTTTGCTTCAAACTTTCCTTTAGATGAGAAAACACAATACAAATACATTAAGAATCTGAAAATCTGTGGAGGGCTTTTAGAAAACTGAAAAACATTTTCCTCTTTTAGTGATAAACTAAATAGAGCTCAGCATCTCTCTGACTCTCTCATTAGAATTTTAATTTTGGTAAAAATAGCTCAAGTGCAGCAAACAAATAGCACAAGAAGATGCAGTCTTTCCTGTGAGTTATTCACTACTCTTGCAGGACAAGTGCTTCTCTGACAGTGGCCAGCAATTCTGAGTCACCTCTCTAAAGTTCTAGAAACATAAGTTGGTGTGTGAAAATCCTCTTATGCTAAGAAAAGAGGGGAAAAGCCTACAGATATGGGTCCCTTCTTCCTTTCCCAAAGTCAGCAGCCTGATCCTCTAGGAATGGCTCCTGTTTCAGGGCTCTCTGTTCCATCAGAAGGGAGGAAAGACACAATCCCAGACACACTAGCCTTCCCTCATTGGAATTAAACCATAAACTTCCAAAATGCGAACCTAAGTATTTTCATTCTAAAGTCATTTTTTTCTTTCTCCAAGTCTTTAGAATTTTTGGAATAGGGCTAAGATTAGGGAGTCATCCTTGCAGAACCTCCAAGTTGTTCCTGCTGGCAAGTTTTGTGTTCCTGATTTGCCTTGACTGACTTCTCTGGATTTTGGTTCTCCAATACCTAGGTTCATGGTGATGATGATGTTTATGGCACAAAGCTGTTCTAGTTTTGCTGCTCTGTCCTTTTCTGGTAAAGAAAGAGTAGGAAAGGAAGACGAGAGAGACATACCATGTCATTAGGGACCACATGCCCAGCTTCCTTCAGTTCCATCTCTCTCCTGCAGAAGGTTTTTGATGTATCTTCAGGATGTGAGTGACACCACTGCTGGGAAGGAGCAGGGACTACCAAAGTCAGAAGTAAATCTCGGGCAGGACCTGCCAAAAATTCAGGTTGGGCACACGGGCCAATCTTAAAAGCTAAAGCACAGAATTCCTAGTCAACAACTACCAGCTCGGTAGGACAAATATGATCTACTATTTCCTTTTTACAAGAATTTGCTAAGTATAAGAGGTGTTTCATAATGGATAAGAAATTCCATCCCATGCCTTCTATGGAGAAACAACAGTAGACCTTCATGAATACACCCTCAATAGCCCTGTGCTATTATTCTCTAGTCACTGATGAGTGGCTCCTGAGGATAATTTCCTAAAAAATGAGAGCAAAGAGTCAATGTGGGAAGGAAAGTAACTATACTAAGATTTTTTCTCTTATGTGTCCCTTTAGAAATAAAAAAAAAAATTAAGCCCAAGCAACTTTAAAGTTTCTAGTTCCTAAACGTTTACCACCACCAAAATCTCCTTGAACTCTTTCCATTTAACAACAAATAAACACGTGGGGGCAACATTTGCAGTACTATTTTTCCTCCAACTTCCTAAAAAAGAAGCCCTAAGAAAGTCCAAGTCATTTATTCATTCATGTTTTTCAAATCATAACATTTTAACAGGCATTTTAGAATTCTGATGATCAAGCCCAAATTTTTATTGTATTTATTATTGGCACTGTCCCAAGGATCATAAAATCCTTTCATAATCATTAACACCACAATGCTCTGTTTTACATATGTCATCACTCTACATATTACCCAAAGACTAGCAAAAAAAAAGTCATAAAAGGTATAAAACAATTGGTACATGAGGGAAGAATATTGATAAACAGGGAAGACGACTATGAGAAAAATGCAGATTTGTCAATTACTGTGCCACTGACAAATTTTGGTGATCATGCAAACAATTTTTTCCTTGCGAGTTAAGGGGGCTGAGTGGCTTTTATAGGAACACAGAGCAGAAGCAAGGTTCTGACACTTCTTCAGGAGCTGAGAATGCATTCACTTACTGAGAAACTTCTTGTTAAGAAGAAGAGAGCCAGAGCCATTCCAGTGCTTATCCACAAGCTCCAAGAGCTGTCTGAGGACAGTGGCCACATGGGAGGTTCTGGCAGAGATCGGCGGACTGTGGTTTCCTGGCAAACCATGCAAACTGCCCAGGTCACTGGAGAGAGGCTCAAGAAAGAAAAAAGAAAACACCACCAACCATTTGTCATTCTTATACAATATGGGAAGTAAGATTCTGGACATTTAAAGTGTTAACATTAAAAAAAAAAAGGTGGTTTCATCTCTCAGTTTGGATTTGAAAAGAATGTTATTTATGTCCAAGCAAATATAGTAGTATATTCAAGGATAATTTCAGAGATAACAGTACACTCTATCATAATCAGTAGAGATTTTTAGAAGAAAACATTAAGTTTTGACACCTAGAACTATGGCTCAGTATATTAAGTTATGTAGTATAAAAAGGTTAAACTTGCAGAACATTTTAAAAACATTTTACAGGGGCACCTAGGTGGCTCAGTGGGTTAAGCCTCTGCCTTCAGCTCAGGTCATGATCTCGGGGTCCTGGGATCGAGCCCCGCATCGGGCTTTCTACTCGGCAGGGAGCCTGCTTCCCTCTCTCTACCTGCCTTCTGTTTTGCCTACTTGTGATCTCTCTCCGTCAAATAAATAAATAAAATCTTTAAAAAAACATTTTACGGATCACAAAATGGGGAGCATTTAAAAAATTTTTTAGTTTACTTAAGTAATCTCTATATCCAATATGATGCTCGAACTCATGACCCTGAGATCAGTAGTCACATGCTCTACTGACTGAGCCAAAGAGACCTCCCAAAAATGCGGGTTATTGTATTTTAAGACATTTATTTATTTTAGAAAGAGAGAGCATGAGGGGAAGGGCAGAGGGAGAGAGAATCTCAAGCATACTCCATGCTCAGCATGCATCCCGATGTAGGGCTCAATCCCATGACACCGAGATCATGACCCGAGATGAAATCAAGAGTCAGATGCTTAACCAACATTGCCACCTAGGCACCCTGGGGAGTATTTTAAAAATTGTAACTCATAAGTTTATATTTAGTATGTTAACATATAGTAAACATAAATGTTCTATAACATTTGAAAGATTTTATTGATTTATTAGAGAGAGAGAGAGAGAGAGAGAAAGAGAGAGAGAAAGAGAGACAACATGGCCACAGGGGAAAGGAAGAGGAAGAGGAAAAAGCAAACTCCCCACCGAGCAGGGAGCTAGACACAGGGATTCCAGGACCCTTGGATCACAACCTGAGCCAAAGGCAGATGCTTAACTGAGCCACCCAGATGCCTCTGTAATATATATTTTTTAAAGATTTTATTTATTTATTTGACAGAGATTACAAGTAGGCAGAGAGGCAGGCGGCGGAGGGGGGGCAGAAGCAGGCTTCCTGCTGAGCAGGGAGCCCGATGTGTGACTCGATCCCAGGACTCTGGGATCATGACCTGAGCCGAAGGCAGCGGCTTAACCGACTGAGCCACCCAGGTGCCCCGCCCCTGTAATATTTTAAATGTTATATGTTAAATGTTAGTGTTGGACCTACTACTAAAGACACTTTTTATTTAGTAAGAATCTTATATAGAAATATGTATAGGTAGATCTGCCCAGTAAAATTCACAATTATTTTGTATTTATTTAGATATGATATATATGTATATATATACATATATATATGTTTATTCATTTATGACTAAATGAATAAAAAGCAACTGTGAATAATTTTAAAATTTAAGATTTCGGCTCAGGTCATGATCTCGGGGTCCTGGGATTGAGCCCCGCATCAGGCTCTCTGCTCCGCAGGGAGCCTGCTTCCTCCTCTTTCTGCCTGCCTTTCTGCCTACTTGTGATCTCTGTCAAATAAATAAATAAAATCTTTTTTAAAAAGTTAAAAAAAATTAAGATTTTAAGATTATAAACATTAGTGCTACAGAGTTCACTCTTCAGCCAACTCAGAGCCCCTGGCAACTTCTGCATTCCCTGCTGTGGTAAACTCTGTCTGCTACTTCTTATTATCAGAGTATGTCCCCACAAAATTTATACTCTGGAAGTAGATTAGGGAATGTTCTCATTGTAACAGAAATGAGAAAATGCAGCAGAAGGGGAATGCCTTTCCTAAGGACGATAGAGCACAGGCTTTGGCCTGGTAGTATTAACCACTGGCCTCTGAAAATCCCTTTGAATTTGTAGTACCCTTGGTCAGAATCACTATCACCCTCAACAGGTCTTGGATGTGATGTGTTTGATGAACAAGCACAAACAAACCAATACTTGCCTCGCTTCCCGTAGCATCTCTGAAACCAGTCTTTGGATTCAGGGTGGCAAGGATATTGTCCTTCCATTTGAATCCTCTCCTCGATGGGCTTAATGACCTCTTGGTCAGATTCTCTCTGTGTTCGGAGGTCCCAGTAGGCAACAGTAGTGTCCGTAGAGAGTCTCCCAGGGCGGAGTTGTTTGGGAAAGAACCATGCGCTGGTGTTATATCACTGAGACTGGTAGATAATTGTTGCTCTACATTAACAAGCAGAGCAGGGTCACTGTTGAAATGTGTTGTGGCATACAGATCTGTGAAGGAAAGAGGCTGGGAGATGACCCTGCCTTTCAGCTCCTTCATGTCTCACTTTCAACCTTACCCCACCAGGAGTCCAATGGTCATAATAACCTCTCCCTACTATACTATACACCTTCAACTCTATGGATCTTCCCCCCCTCCATCTGAAAAAACCCTACTCTGGATAAATCCTACTGTCCACATACTCCAAGCCCACATGAGAGCAGTAGGCAGGGGGTGGAGAATAACATGCATCTCTTCTGTCTTCACTACTATGAAGTAGTATGTGAAGTGTATTGCTCCGACTGGCCAGAGAAGGCTAGACGTTACTAGAAATATGTCCTGGCATGATATTTAGCTATAAGAGTACATAGTTATGAAGCTTACATTTCTGCATATTTTCTTTAACAATATATCTATATGTTAAACTCATATCCTGCAGATTTCTGGAAGTTTCATTGGCTACTGACAATCCAAAATCAAATTTAAAAAATGCTAATGCAATTTAAGAAATGTTAACTCCAAGATCTTCAGTTATACCTCTATCTCATGACTAGGAAAAAGGCCTATATACTCACAGGAAGCTATTACCTGAACTAAGCTTTAAAAGCCTTCCAGTGCTAGAGTCAGGGTTTGACAGAGAAGTCAGTAAGTCTCCACAGGAATGGGATGTGGTGGCCTTCATGTCATTTGAAGGCTTTATGCTATATTCACGGTAGTTCTTGCTTCTCTGAGGCCTTTTTCCAAGACTTCCATGCAGGGTCAGATTGTGAGAATAATGACAATCATAATTTTCTAGACCAGCATCTGAAGGTAACTGATAGGGATGGATCTGGCTAGAATCACCCACATCCAGACGTTTACCCAATGAGACATCATGGGTAAGCTGGTGATTATCAGGTTTTAGTATCAAATCTTTTTCTGGAGAAGAACCTGAAGACTTATTGTCCAAAAAAGATAGTCGGTACCCTTCTCTAGCCATCTTCTCTGGGGATCGGACCGTAGACTGACGAGGAGAGTAGCGTCTAAATTCTAACCACCACCAAGGAGAAAAGAAAAGACAAAATACAATGAGAATTCTTCTTGGCTCAGTTAGGGTACCTCTGTTCACTAGGGTACCTATGTTCATACCTCGGTGTACCAGAAAAAGTTCTTAGGAAGCGATGGTTTATAATTTTGATAAATAGTAGCATAAAATGATAAAAGGATTTTTACATGGAACAACAACAAAATGTGTTGGATGCTGTGTGAACAGTAAAGAATCTTTAGCATTCTGGAGATAAACTTCATGTCAACCTAATCCCCTAGGAATTTCCTCCTAAAACTATAGTATCAGAGTTTTCTAGATGCTGTTTTCATGCAAAAATTTTGGTGTACCCCATATGACAATAGTTGTGATCTTATGTCTTCACTCTATACACAATAATTGGTAGGTCTATGATTTCACAGACTCCTCACAATAAAGCTAAGCCCAACCCCACCCTGAAACTCCAGCCAGAGGTCCTATATTCATACACTGGGAACCAGTATCCTAAGCCAATCAAAAGGCAGGGAATCAAAAACCTATGAAAATCCCTAACCAGCTATAAAGCATTTCTTTCAGACAGCTGTATGTCATTGTTAAAGAGTGTCAGAGTGCGGCAAGTAGAAGTCTTTGTGCTCTTTGGAGTTTTCAGAGTTTCATGTGCTTAAAGGGCTTCCTTAGGAAGCATACCTGAATTAGTCACATTAACTTAAAAAAAGTAGAACCAAGCATTTTTTATCTTTATAGCACCTATAGAATATCAATGTTTGACCCAGGGCCAGCCTACACAGTGAGGGAAAGGAACAGTATTTTTATGCAACAAGAAGAATCTAACAACAAGTGATATGATTAGATAATTCAGACTGTGCCTCTTATTGAAGACATTAAAAAAGTGGGATGATACATGTTCTTTAAAGCATCAAAGAGCTTCTTAGCTGGTAAGGATTTTCTAGACGAAAGTCTAGGAAACAGCAAGAACACACATAGGTAAGTCTAGCACTGAAAGTCACATTTACCCTCAGAAGTTTTAGGATAACAGGGACAGAAGTTCAACATCTATCCAAAATGAGGAGTATGACAAACCATCCTTACCTCCCATCCCACCCCCACCTACACATTAAGATGGAACCCCAAGCAGAATGCAACCTTCAGAGTAAAAGTAAACTGGAAATAAGCCAGCCCTTGTACTGACTAATCCAGGTTTGTATCATCTGAGTGGGTCCAGTGAACCTTGAGCTTTGAGCCTGGATTTAAGTGATCCCAGAATGATAGTGCTGGTAGAAGCAAATGAAAATCTGATCTGGAAAAGATACCTTTATGTAAGACTTTAAATAATTCCTTTAAATAGTTTTTCAAATACATAGCAAATAACCAAAGCAAAGAAACAAAAAGGGAAACAAGACAACATAAGTATGAATAGAAAAAAAAAAGACAATAAACTTCAGGTATCGGAATTTACAGATATAGCCTATGCAACAGCTATGTTTACTATGCATCAGGAAATATAAAACAGGGGCACCTGGGTGGCTCAGTCGTTAGGTGTCTGCCTTCAGCTCAGGTCATGATCCCTAGGATTCTGGGATCGAGCCCCACATCAGGTTCCCTGCTCTGCAGGGGAGCCTGCTTCTCTCTCTCCCACTCCCCTAGCTTGTGTTCCTACTCTTATTGTCTCTCTCTCTCTCTGTCAAATAAATAAATAAAATCTTAAGAAAAAAATAAAAAGCAGGAAATTTTCTGTTTATAAAAACTGAGCCAGCAGACTTGAAAAAGAACAAAATAAAACTTAGAGACCTGTGGGGCACCTGGGTGGCTCAGTTGGTTAAACATCTGCCTTCAGCTCAGGTCATGATCCTGGGGTCCTGGATCAAGTCCTGCATTGGGCTCTCTGCTCAGCAGGGAGCCTGCTTCTCCCCACCCCCCTGCTCATGCTCTCTCTCTCTCTCTCTGTCTCGTTATTTCTCTCTCTCCTTCAAAAAAATAAATAAAATCTTTAAAAAAAATTTAGAGAACTGAGAAATAAAAGTTATGAAATTAAGAACTTAGCAGACAAGATTAACAGCAGATTGGGTGCCTGGGTGGCTCAGTGGGTTAAGCCTCTGCCTTCGGCCCAGGTCATGATCTCAGGGTCCTGGGATCGAGTCCTACATTGGGCTCTCTTCTGGACAGGGAACCCTCTTCCTCCTCTCTCTCTCTCTGCCTGCCTCTCTACTTGTGATCTCTGTCAAATAAGTAAAAAAATTTTTTTAAAAGAAAAAGATTAATAACAGATTAGACACAGCTGAAGAAAATGTTAGTGAGGGGCACCTGGGTGGCTCAGTGGGTTAAAGCCTCTGCCTTTGGCTCAGGTCATGATCCCAGGGTTCTGGGATCGAGCCCGCATCGGGCTCTCTGCTCAGCAGGGAGCCTGCTTCCTCCTCTCTCTCTGCCTACTTGTGATCTCTGTCTGTCAACTAAATAAATAAAATCTTAAAAAAAAAAAGAAAAAGAAAATGTTAGTGAGCTGAAAGATGGGTCAGAAGGAATTATCCAGGATGCAGATCAGAAACCCCCCAAAATGAAAAATATAAAAGAATAAAAGAAAAAGAGGACAAAATAAAAATCTCTACTATATATTTATTTAATCAAGAGTCCCAGAAGGACAGAGAGAAAGAATGAGACACAAACAATATTTGAAGCACTTTCCAGAATTAATAAGACACAATTCACAGATTCAAGTGTAATAAATACTGAACAAGATAAATAAAAAGAAAACCACATGTCATACCAAAATTGAAGAAAACCAAAGACAATTGGAAAATCTTAAATGGAGCTAGAGAAAAAAAGACAAATTATCCCCGCAGGACTGAAAGACCTCCAGCTGATTTTTCAAAAGCAAAAAACAAAACAATACAGTGGAATACCTTCAATATTCTGGAAGAAATAACTACCAATCTAGAAATTTATACCTGGCCAAAATACTCCTTAAGAGTGATGGTGGATGGGGCGCCTGGGTGGCTCAGTCATTAAGCACCTGCCTTTGGCTCAAGTCATGATCGCAGAGTCCTGGGATTGAGCCCCGCATTGGGCTTCCTGCTCAGCGGGGAGCCTGCTTCTCCCTTTCCCACTCCCCCTGCTTATGATCTCTCTCACTGTCTCTCTATCAAATAAATGAGTAAAATCTTAAAAAAAATGGTGGAATATAGGCATTTTCACACAAACAAAAACTGAAAGTGTTCGACAGAATAAACCCACACTAAAGGAAATTCTAAAAGACATACTATAAGTTGGAGAAAATTGATCTCAGAAGGGAAATCTAGAATGAAAAAAAGAAATGAAGAACAAAGTGGTAAATACAAAGATAAATTTAGATGAACATTGACTGTATAACAATTTCATGTGACTTTAAAAATATAGTGAGGATAGGGCGCCTGGGTGGCTCAGTGGGTTAAAGCTTCTGCCTTTGGCTCAGGTCATGATCCCAGGGTCCTAGGATCAAGCCCCACATAGGGCTCTCTGCTCATCAGGGAGCCTTCTTCCCCCCCCTTCTCTCTGCCTGCCTCTCTGCCTCCTTGTGATCTCTGTCAAATAAATAAAATCTTTAAAAAAATATATAGTGAGGATTAAAATCTGTAATAATAATATTTAAATCAGGAAAGACTAAAAGGAGTAAAGTATTTTAAGGTCTTTAAATTATCCAAGAGAAGAGTTAAGGTATTGATTAATTTTTTTTAATTATATAAGTTAAGGGCATATATTATAGTTTGGGGAATAATAATAAAGGTATTGAAACAGTATATAACTTATAAATAAACCAATAGAGAGAACAAATGGATGAATAAAGACATAGTAAATCCAAAAGAGGGCAAGAAAGGTAAGAAAAAAGAAACAAGGAACAGCCAGCCAGCACAAAAGTCAAAAAGGAAGTCAGAATATCCATTCTTCAACCAGAAAGGCCTCACGGGTCACTAAGCATCCAGGGGAGCCCCAACAAAAGCAGAAAGAGTTAGTTGACCATATAGGGCTGCAGGGCTGAGATATCTCCATCTTCTCATCTAGATTTCTCTGATTAGTTGGACAAAAATACTTCCTGAACAAAATATTTACCATCTTCCTGGTGATTGTCACTTGGGATCTCCCTTCTTGCCACTTCCTGCAACAAAAAAAAGTTTGAATGTTTAGGAAAACAGAGTTGATGGGCATCGAGACATGAGCTTACAAGACATTTCCTTTAAAACAAATACTAAGGGGCGCCTGGGTGGCTCAGTTGTTAAACGTCTGACTTCGGCTTAGGTCATGATCCCAGGGTCCTGGGATCTAGCCCTGCTTTGGGCTTCTTATTCAATGGGGTGCCTGTTTCTCCCTCCCCCACTCCCCATGCTAGTGTTCCCTCTCTTGCTGTGTCTGTCAAACAAATAAATAAAATCTTTAAGAAAAAATAAATACTAAGATATTTTAAAATAGTAATTGAGATAGTTTCTAAGTTACCTAAAGAGAATCTCCAAAAACAAAGGAATCAACTAAATACAAATCTGTCTTTTTTTTTTAAATATGTCTTTTTATAAGATGAAAGTATGGTAAATTCAAACTGAAAAAAAAAATCTTACTAACATTTTACTAGTACAGTGTTGACTATCCAAATGTGGATTAATCAGAGCCCTTGCTTCTTTTCTTTCTCCTTCTGGCTATTTTCAGCAATTTCATTGCTTAAAATTTATCACAGAAAATGCAGACAAAAGGAGAAGTAGAATATAAAGTAGTTAATTCTGCTTCCTGCATAATACTTATACACATGAGTCTTTTTTTTTTTTTAATGGAATGCTTCACAAATTTGCATGTCATCCTTGTGCAGGGACCATGCTAATCTTTTCTGTATCGTTCCAATTTTAGTATATGTGCTGCCAAAGTGAGCACACACGAATCTTATATAATGGTTGTATAACCCTCCCAACAATTATTTTCACTAAAAACTCATACTTTTTTGTTGTTGTTGTTTAGATTTTTATTTATTTATTTGTCAGTCATAGAGAAAGAGAGAGTACCATCAGGGGGAGCAGCCGGCAGAGGGAGCAGTAGACTCCCTGCTAAGCAAGGAGCCTGATGAATGACTTGATCCCAGGGCCCTGGGATCATGACATGAACCAAAGGCAGATGCTTAACTGACTGAGCCATCCAGGTGTCCCTAAAAATGTATTCTTTTTTTAAAAAAGATTTTATTTATTTATTTGACAGAGATCACAAGCAGGCAGAAAGGCGGGCAGAGGGAGAGAGAGAGAGAGAAAGAAGGAAGCAGGCTCCCCACTGAGCAGAGCCCAATATGGGGCCCGATCCCAGGACCTCAGCTGAGATCATGACCTGAGCCGAAGGCAGAGGCTTAACCCACTGAGCCACCCAGGTGCCCCTAAAAATTTATTCTTAATTCTTGCCTCATCTTGCACAATCTCTACCTCCCCACTGCCCACAACTTCTATGCCATCTTTACCCCTTAACTTTTCTTCTTTTATGTTCCAATGAAGAGGCAGCTTTGGGAAAGCCACGCTTGAGATGCTGAGATTGAGTAATTAAAAAATCAGAGGTGGGGCGCCTGGGTGGCTCAGTGGGTTAAGCCGCTGCCTTCGGCTCAGGTCATGATCTCAGGGTCATGGGATCGAGCCCCACATTGGGCTCTCTGCTCAGCGGGGAGCCTGCTTCCCTCTCTCTCTCTACCTGCCTCTCTGTCTACTTGTGATCTCTCTCTGTCAAATAAATAAATAAAATCTTTAAAAAAAAAATTAAAAAAAAATCAGAGGTAAGGGCGCCTGGGTGGCTCAGTAAGCTGAGCCTCTGGCTCTTGGCTTCAGCTTAGGTCATGAACTCAGGGTCCTGTGTGGGCCTCCGAGCTACGTGGGGAGTCTGCTTCTTCTCTCTCTCCCCCCCAGCTCATGCTCTCTTTCTCTCTCTCTCAAATAAATAAATAAATCATAAAAAAAAAAAAAGTCAGGGGGCGCCTGGGTGGCTCAGTGGGTTAAGCCGCTGCCTTCGGCTCAGGTCATGATCTCAGGGTCCTGGGATCGAGTCCCGCATCGGGCTCTCTGCTCAGCAGGGAGCCTGCTTCCCTCCCTCTCTCTCTGCCTGCCTCTCTGTCTACTTGTGATCTCTCTCTGTCAAATAAATAAAATCTTTAAAAAAAAAAAAAAAAGAGGTGGAAAATATAAGGAGTGAGGTAACAGGAGATGGAGACATTGGGTAGAGAGGAGAAATTTTAAAACCAGCCAAAACCTCTAATTGTTGTATTCCTGTTTGAGAGCCAAAATACCTGGCATAAAAAGTACTAAAACTTGTATGTATAAATATACCACTTTCGATAATGGGATAGTAGGGGAGAGGGAAAAGGCAGGTTGAAATTAATGGAGAAGGTCCTCTGCATCCTGTTTGCCCTTCTTTCTTTGATAAATCAAACAAGTCCACCTAGACCTTCATAAATAATTGAAAGTCCAATGAACTGTTAGTATTAATCATTGACTAGTCAAGAGATCAACAGGAAAATGAATACATTACCTGTGTTCCCAGCGGGAAAGTGTCTAATTTCTGATCTGGTATACCACTGCCCGGGGTTGCAGAAGTACTCATTAGGGAATCCTTTATTTCCCGATTGGGGAAGGGAATAAAAAGTCCTTTGTTTGAGTCTGTGTTAAAAGAAAGGGAATACAATGAAGCACTGACCAGACTTCAAAGACAACATGTCTTATGGAAAGATACTAGAAAGGAAGTCACAAGATTGAGAGCTAATTCTGGTGCCACCAGTTAGAAACCATGTGAATTTGGGTGAACAGCTTAACCTCTCTAATTTTCTCCATTGTAAAATAGTGATGATCAAATCTAAACTACCTATCTCTTAGGGTTGAGGTAAGGTTGAAACAAGGTAATCGGGGGTTCCTGGCTGGCTCAGTCAGTGGAGCATGCAACTCTTGATCTCCTGATTGTGAGTTCAAGCCCCACACTGGGTACAGAGATTATTTAAAAATAAAATCTTAAAAACAAACAGAACTATCTCCTAGTCCTGGCCACCCTAGAAACTGTTATCAAAAAGAGCCAGTTAAGATTTTTATTAGATTGGAATGCTTGTAGAGAAGTTTTTGCACATTCTTTTTTTTTTTTTTTTAAGATTTATTTATTTGAGAAAGAAAGTGTGTGCACATGAGAACAGGGGGAGGGACAGAGGGAGAGGGAGAGAGAATCTCAAGCCGACTCTGTGCTGAGCATGAAGCCCAACATGGGGCTCCACCCCCATGTTCTGAGCCAAATCCAAGAGTCAGTCTCTCAGCTGAGTCACCCAGGCACCCCTGCACATCCTTGATCAGTACTTACTAATTGTACAATTCTGGGATCTGGAGTCTTCTGGGGGAATTTGGATGAAAATAAGTTTCTTGTTTAGGGAGGTTTGTTTCCCTAGCAGGATTGTGTAAGAATTAAGATAGTTTTAAAAACTTGGGCCTTAGTCAAACAATGTGCTCTTCTGCTAGTTCTCATCTGTAGGCTCTGGCAACAGAAAGCTGTTGTAAGCCAGGGCAACTGAGAATACACAGTGATTAAAGCCAGCTTTTGAAAATCCAGCCCTTCAGTCCATTTGGGGCTCTAAAATGCTTCCTACTTGTGAGTTGCCTCCTGGGACTGAAATTTCCTATTACTCCAATATAAAAATGCTCTTAGATGATTCTATTTGACAGAACTACTTTCAAGCTCTCATAGTTTATATTCTCTGGCTCCTATTGCACTAGTAACATAGAAAAAACAAAGCAAACAAAGTAAAGCAGAAATTACTGGTCTTAACCTGATTCTTTGTTAAAAAAAAAAATGAGGATGGTAGAACACTGCAATTTTGGGTTCAGGCCTCCTTTTGCCTTCATCCTACAGAACAAACTTATACTTCCCAGGTGTCCAAGACCCTGCTCCATCCTGGTTTTTTTCTACTGTGTTTATATTCTTCTCCAGATTCACAGGTTCTTTTTCTTTCAAATTCCCCAATATCCAAATTTTTTGCTAAATGCTCCCATATCTTCTCTTTATCACCTAAATTTGGATGACCCAAAATCTTTTTTTCTTTAAAGATTTTATTTATTTATTTGAGAGAAAGAGTGACAGAGATAGCAACAGAGAGCAAAAGCCAGGAGGAGAGGGAGAAGAAGGCTTCCTGCCGAACAGGGATCCCAATGCAGGGCTTGATTCCAGGACCTGAGATCAGGACTTGATCTGAAGGTAGACTCTTAACTGACTGAGCCACCCAGGCGCCCTGAATGACCCAAAATCTCCATCTCAACTCTCCTCTCTTTTCATCTCCAGACCTAAGTTTTTTTTAACTGCCTCTAGGGAGTGCCCCTGTCCTAGATAAATAAAAAGTATTTTCTAAACCAAACTCATTATCTTCATTTCCAGGCCTGCTGCTACTGATGTCCCCCACCCATTTCAAAACCACATCTCAGGGGGCACCTGGGTGGCTCAGTGGGTTAAGCCTCTGCCTTCAGCTCAGGTCATAATCTCAGGGTCCTGGAATTGAGCCCCGCAATAGGCTTTCTGTTCAGCAAGAAGCCTGCTTCCCCCCTCTCTCTGCCTGCCTCTCTGCCTACTTGTGATCTCTATGTAAAATAAATAAATAAAGTCTTAAAAAAAAAACACATCTCAGTCCTGGCATTATTACTACTCAATCAATCCCTCAAGATAGAAATTAATTCTTTGATTCTCATTCACCTCAAATTTCAATCAGTTACCAATGGCTATAGAATCACTTTTGAGGGGGAATAAGGAATCTTTAACTTACCTTATAATTATAATAAGTATATAATATTTAATTACAATTATATAATAATTATAATAATTACCTTACCTTATAATTAACCTTTCACAGTGTACAACTTAGTGATTTTCAGTATATTCACCAAATTAGCGACCATCATTATGATCTAATTTCATTATCCAAAAGAAACTCAATTTGCTGTCACTTTTAATTCTCTTTCCTGCCAGCACCTGACAACCATCAGTATACTTTCTGTCTCTATGGAATTTCCTATTCTGGACATGGCATATAAATGGAATAATATGATATTTGACTTTTTGTGTCTGGCTCCCATCACTAAGCATGATGTTTCAAGATATACATTATAGATGTATTCATTTTTATTTATTTATTTATTATTATTTATTTATTTTATTTATTTATTATTTTATTTATGTATTCTATTTAAAGAAAATAGATATTTTCTTTATCTCTTCATCAGCTGATAGACTTTTGGGCTATTATAGAGAATGCTGCTTTCATTCCTGTACAAGGGTGACTGTGATGAATTTTTCTTTGCTATTTTATTTATTTATTTATTTATTTTGTCAGAGAGAGAGCACACAGGCAGGCAGAGTAGCAGGCGAAGGCAGAAGGAGAAGCAGGCTCCCCGCCGAGCAGGGAGCCCGACGTGGGACTCCATTCCAGGACACCAGATCACGACCCGAGCCGAAGGCAGCCGCCCAACCGACTGAGCCACTCAGGCGTCCCACTATTTTATTTTTTTAAAGATTTTAGTTTAAGTAATCTCTACACCCAACATGGGGCTTGAACTCACAACCCTGAGACAAGAGTCACATATTCTATCAACTGAGCCAGCCAGGTGCCTACCTCTCTTTGCTGTTTTAAAATAAGATACCTATTAGACAAATATATTTTAGGTGCAATTCTGCCAAAAGGTAAAAGGAATTGGCTAAAAGAGTGAACAGGACCCCTTTCAACTCACAGAGTATATATGTGTTATTTTCATGTAAATTATCTTTAGTAAGGCATTCATTGTTCTCCAATAATCTGACCTTCTATCCAAGTCACATGGTCACTCAACAGTCTATGACCTGCTATACTCATTACCACTTTCACATAGCTATTCACACCAATCTCACCAAGCTCTCAGGCTATCCCAGGGCTCCACAGCCTTTAATGACTAAGGACTTTTTTTCCACACTGGCCACAAAACCTTTTCACGCATGCTCTTAGCACAGTCTGAGTTTCTATAGCATATGCCCATCTTTATCAGTGTTTCTCAAACTCAATATTCTCACAAACTCTGAGAATATGAATCCAGTTCGAAAAACTTCAATTTAAGAAGCTCAGTATATAAAAAGATATTTTTAAAAAGCAGATTGTATTGGGTGACAGTTTGGCAGTTTCTTACAAAATCAAACACTTGGTATTTGCCCAAAGGAGTTGAAACCTTATGTCCACACAAACACTGCACATGGATGTTTATAGCAGCTTTTTTCAAAATTGCCAAAACTTAGAAGCAACCAAGATGTCTTCAGTAGGTGAACGGATAAAAGAAAGTTTGGTACACCCAGACAACAGAATATTATTCCGTAGTAGAAAGAAAGGAGCTATCAAACCATGAAACGACATAAAGGAACCTTAAATGGATATTACTAAGTAAAGAAGCCAGTCTAAAAAGGCTACATACTTAATGATTCCAACTATATACTATTCTGGAAAAGACAAAACCATGGAGATGGGAAGAGAGCAGAGGAAGCAGCACGCTGTCCTCCACCTAGGCAATAATTACACTGGCAGAATCTGTCTGATATAACTGTTTTGGGATTCTGGAGTCTGTTGAAGTCCTGCAAGTCCAGGGGAAGACCTGGAAGTTAACTGAAATTAACTTCAGTCAATTTCATCTCTTGGCAATATCAGTAACAGCTACCCATGTCCCACCCTTCATGCAAAAGAATGAAGGTACAGTACACCTTACCTGGTCATCCCTTCCTCCCCTCTAGCTCAGCAACCACTGATCTTTTTACTGTCTCCATAGTTTTGGGTTCCCCCCCCTCAATTACTTTTATTGTAGCTAAATATACATAACACAAAATTTGCCATCTTAAATTTTTAAGTATACCATCTATCATTTTAAGTGTACAATTCAGTGGTATTAAATGCATTCATAAGGCGCCTGGGTAGCTCAGTTGGTTAAGTGTCTGTCTTCAGCTCAGGTCATGATCCCAGGGTCCTGGAGTGGAGCCCTACATCAGACTCCTGCTCAGGGAGAAGCCTGCTTCTCCCTCTCCCTCTGCCCGCTGCTCTGCCTGCTTGTGCTCACTCTCTTTCTGTAAAATAACTAAATAAAACTTTTTAAAAAATGCATTCATAATGTTGTGCAACTATTACCATCATCTCCAGAACTCTTCATCTTATAAAACTGAAACTATATCCATTAAATTATAATTCTCTACATCCCCCTCCCTGTAGCCTCTGGCAAACACCATTCTCTTTCCTGCCTCTGTGATTTTGACTGCTTTAAGTACCTCATATAAGTGGGATCATATAGTGTCTGTCTATTTGAGACTGGCTAATTTTGCTTAGCAAATGCCCTTAAGTTCATCCATGTTGTAGCACATGTCAGAATTTCCTTTTGTTTTAAGGGTTAATAATATTTCACTGTTTGTGTATACCACATTTTGCTTATTCATTCATCTGTTGGTGGACACTTGGATTGCTTCCATGTTTTAGCCCTTGTGAATAATGCTGCTATGAACATGTATAAACACCTGTTCAAGACCCTGTTTTCTCTTCTTTGGCAATATGCCCCAAAGTGGAATCACTGCATCATATAGTAATTTTATTTTTATTTTTTCAGGAACAGCTATACTGTTGTCCATAGCATCTGTACCATTTTATATTCCCACCAGACAGTTGGACCAGCAGTTCCAAATTCGCCACATCCTTGCCAACATGTGTTATTTTCCAGTTTTTTGATAGTAGCCATGCCAATGAGTATCATTCTAAATGATTGGTGGGAAAGCACTGTTTGGAACAACTGAGCCAGTAGGAACTGTTCTCCAGAAAGCTTTCTTCTAGCCTGTGACATAACCATTAACATGGCATAACCACTTTAGTCATATTGGATTACCAACAGTGCTTACAAGCAACACTCCCAGGGGTCTAGCACAAATACAATTTTCAGTGGAAAGCAAAGCTCTTTCACGTTTCAAAGTAGCAACATAAATTTTATATTAAAAAAAATCCAGGCAACAGCTGGAGCTTCCAAGAACATTTAGAAATGGGTTCTGTATCTGGTAAAGTAGTTTGTTTTCAGTAGAGACTATGCACCTTTTCTTTTTTTAAAAGATCTTATTTATTTGTCAAAGAGAGAGACAGACAGACAGACAGAGAGTACAAGCAGGCAGAGTGGCAGGCAGAGACAGAGAGAGAAGCAGGCTCCCCGCTGAGCAAGGAGCCCGAAGAGGGACTCAATCCCAGGACCCTGGGATCATGACCTGAGCCGAAGGCAATGGCTTAACCAACTGAGCCACCCAGGCATCCTGAGACTATGCACCTTTTTATTTTATTTTATTTTTTAAGATTTTATTTACTAATTTGAGAGAAAGAGAGATCACAAGTAGGCAGAGAGGCGGGCAGAGAGAGAGGGGGAAGCAGGCTCCCCGCTAAGCAGAGAGCCGGATGTGGGGCTCAATTCCAGGACCCTGAGACCATGACCTGAGCCGAAGGCAGAGGCTTAACCCACTGAGCCACCCAGGTGCCCTGACACTATGCACCTTTAAAAAAAAAAAAAAGATTTTTATTTATTTGAGAGTCAGAGTGTAGGGGGCGGGAGAGGGGGCGGGCAGGGCCAGAGGGAGAGAATCTTAACCGAGCCAGACACCCCCCGAGATCATGATCTGAGCCAAAACCAAGAGTCCCATAACTTAACCGACTGAACCACTCCGATGCCCTGAGACTATGCACTTTAAAACATTTTAACTCGTGGGGTGAACGTTTATGTGTGCTAATGATGTAATATGACATAAATGAAGTTCATACAAAAAAAAAGCAGTCAAGTTATAGTTCAATGTATCTTCATCATTCTGGAAATGGATATATAAATGTTTTTACCTAGAAAAAATACAAGAAGGCTGTATATAAAATTATTAATTGGGATTCTCTCTAGGGGACAGGCTTATGAGTGATTAAAATGTTATTCTTCATGCTTTTTAGTATTTTCCAAAATTGTTATAATAGGATTTCATCAGGGGTGTCTTGGTGGCTCAGTAGATTAAGCATCAACTCATGGTTTCTGCTCAGGTCATGATCTCAGGGTCATGAGATCAAGTCCTATGACACGCTCCACGCTCAGCAAGGAGTCTGCTTGAGATTCTCTTTCCTTCTCCGTCCCCATCTGTCCTGCCCCTGACATGCACATGAACTCTCTCTCCAAAATAGATTCATAAATAAAATCTTAAAAAAATAGAATTTCATCAAATTTTATTTAATTTTTAAAAAGATTTATTTATTTATTTTAGAGAAAAAGCACTTGAGCAGGGAGGGGAGGGGCAGTGGGAGATTGAAAGAATCCTAAACAGACTTCCCACCATGTTTTTATTTATTTTTAATTAATTAAAATCAACCACCTTACAGAGTGCTTGATTGGGGGAGGGACAGCAGGGGAGAGAGAATCTTCTATTTTTTTTAAAGATTTTACTTATTTGAGAGTGAGAGACACTGAGAGAGTTAGAGCGCACTAGCAGGGGGAGTGGCAGGCAGAGGGAGAGGGAGAAGTAGACTCCCTCCGGAGCAGGAAGCCCAATGCAGGACTCAATCCCAGGACCCTGGGATCATGACCTGAGCTGAAGGCAGACATTCAACCGACTGAGTCCCCCAGGCGCTCAGGGAGAGAATCTTAAGCAGACTCCCTACCGAGTACAGAGCCTGACAGAGGGGTCCAATCCTATAATCCCGAGACTACAACACAAGCTGAAATTAAGAGTCAGACACTTAACTGATTGAGCCACTCAGGTACCCCAAAATGTCATCAAATTTTAAATATAAAAAATGTCATTTAAAATTAAATAAGGCAATTCATGCTCTATGACATATGTGCACTGAGATTTCCAAGAAAGAAAAATAAAAATCACACTTCACTATGGCTTATGTTACCATAAAAATCACATGAAAATAGGGGCGCCTGGGTGGCTCAGTGGGTTAAAGCCTCTGCCTTTGGCTCAGGTCATGGTCCCAGGGTCCTGGGATCCAGCCCCACATCGGGCTCTCTGCTCAGCAGGGAACCTGCCTCCTCCTCTCTCTCTCTGCCTGCATCTCTGCCTACTTGTGATCTCTGTCAAATAAATAAATAAAATCTTTTAAAA